CCAGAAGCAATATTAGAGTACCTATTCTAAATAACAAAATGTGGAAAATAATATGGCTTTTAAAGGATACATACTAATTAAACATGTTTTTATAACAGTAATAAATATAGTAAGTTGGGAGGCATATGAGTTTAATACATATTAACTGTAGCACAATTTTTATTTGGCTTCAGGGTTTGACTCTTTAAAGTATCTCCTATTAAATGGAATCCAAAAGAACTACAAATTCTACTAACTCAATAGTGACACAGGCAGAGTACAAAAAATAACTCAGAAAAGAAGAAATAATACACATGCAAGCTAGGACAGAACTTATTTCACAAATATATGGCATAAATTGAGCCAACTCATAAGAACCACAAGTTAAGTAGGAGTTAGCAGTGTGTCACTGTAATTTGGAAATTTAATAAAATACGGAGTTATCTAATAAGAGAATGGCACATGAGACTTAGTCTGTCCCTGTATTCTATTCTGGTGAGGCCATTTTCAGATGATTGTATTCAGTTTAAAACCCCACATTCAGCGAGAGACCCCAGCATGCTGGGTTCCAATCTGAGCTTTGCCCCTGACAAATCGGCTGCATGGTAGATCTACTCAGGGACACTAGTCCCCTGTTCTCCTCATCTACAGGTCTTATCAATGAGGGCATCAGCCAGTCATTCTCAAGTGGCCACACAGATCCGAAACCCATTTTCATCAGCTAGGGTACAGTGCTCATGTAAATGCTTTGGCCTTTAGTCTTACAAATGCCACTCATTTCCAAAGTTACCTAGATCAGCATCTTACCTCTACCCCCCGTTAGTGAGACTTTCATACATTTGTAATACAGTTTTGTCACATTTGTGTCTTTTGTCATATTCTGTGTTCCACCTCGGATCCCCTGTGCCGAACCATCTAAATGAAATTTTAAATTTACATATAGTTCACTCTTTGTGCTGTAAAGTTCAAAAGGTTTTAGCAATTATACAGTGACATGTATTCACCATTACAGTTTTGTACAGAATAGTTTAATTGCTCTAAAATAATCCTATACTTTAGCTATTCAACTCTCCCTCCCTAAACCCACTCCTCCCTTGAAACCCCAGAAATCACTGACCTTATTGTTTCTATGGTTGTGCCATTTCCAGAATGTGGTATCCTTGGAATCATAGTACAGAGCTTGTCAAACTGTTTCCATTCAATTAGCAATATGCATTTAAGATGTATCCATAGCTGAGTATTCCTCCACTGTATGGATATAGCACAGTTTGTTGGGATGTTTGTTCATGAAAAATATATTGGTTTCTTCCAATTTTTGATGTTTGTAAGTCAAACTGCTATAAACATTCATGTGCAGCTTTTTGTGTGGACATAGACTTTCAAATTAATTGGGTAAATAGGCAGGAGCACAATTGCTAAATCATACAGTAAGACCATGTTTAACTTTGTAAGAAATTGCCACTGTCTTCCAGAGTGGCTGTGCCTTTTTGTGTCTCTATCAGCAATGAATGAGAGGTCTCTTTGCTCCACATCTTTGTCAGCAGTTAGTATTGTCGGGTTAGTTTTTAGTCATCTAACAGGTATGAAGTAGTATCTCCTTGTTCCTTATTTTAATTTTCATTTTCCTAATGACAAATCATGTTGAGCGTTTTTCATATGCTTATTTGCCATACATGTATCTTCCTAGTTTAGGGGTCTGTTCATATCTTATTTCCATTTTTTAATTAAGATTTTTGTTCTCTCTTCTGCACTGCTGGTGGGAGTGCAAACTGGTCTAACCACTATGGAGAGCTGTGTGGAGATTTCTGGACCTACTAAACATAGAGTTTCCATATGATCCAGCAATTCCACTCCTAGGTATTTACCCAAAGGACACAGAAACATCAATTACAAAGGGCACCTGCACCCCTATGTTTCTAGTAGCACTATTTACAATAGCTAAGCTTTGGAAACAACCCAAATGCCCAAAAATAGATGACTGGATTAAGATGTGGTATATATACACCATGGAATATTACTCAGCATTCAAAAAAGATAAACACATGCAGTTTGCAGCAACATGGATGGAGCTAGAAGGGATCATGCTCAGCAAAATAAAGCAGAAAGAAAAAAGAAAAATACCGGATGGTCTCACTCATAGCAGGAATCTAGAAAACATAAATATGGACCAGGAAAAAAAATAACTATAAGTAAGAAAAAAATCAAAATCAACAAACAACTATGAACCAGAGACACTCTTTGGGGTGGGGGGGGAAGGAGGGATTGGGGTCAAAATCGGGGTTGCAATTGTATGGGGAATATAAAAATAAAAATTAAGAAAAAATTTTTGTTCTCTTATTGTTTAAAATATTTTTATTGAGTATAATAAGTTTATCACATATGTGTTTCATAGCCTATCTTTACATTCTCTCAATAGTCTTTTATAGAGCATAAGTTTTTAATTTGAATAAAGTTGAACTTATTTCTTTAATAGAGCATGCTTTTGGTGTTACATGTACAAAACCCAAAGGATGTATTGATTTTTTGCTCATCTTTTCTTCTAGACATGTTATAGTTTTGCATTTTACATTTAAGTCTATGATCCATTTTACATTTAAATCTATGATCCATTAAGTCTGTGATCCCAGAAAGAAAGTTTGGGATCTTGTTTTTGTATTTTGGGCAAATATGTGTCCAACTATTTTAGCACCATTTGTGCTAGAATACCATTCTCTCTCATTAAGTGCCTTTGTCAAAAATAAGTTGGCTATATTTGTTTCAATATAATTTAACCCTGTTCATGAAATCAACAATATCTAATATTAAACAAAATCTAAAGACAGAGGGGAGTCTACTAAATATCAGCATTCATCAAATGATGTATATTTCACATGAACTATTATGAAACTGTCAAAACCTGTCTCTTGCCTGCTTCTACCTCTCTTCATGTTCACTAATTCCAGGCCCCTGACAGTCGTTCTGTTCCTAAATCATAAGAAAGTGTAATTTAGCCTTTGGGTCTAAACATTTTCTTGTGGGATACTTTCAATCCAGTTTGCTGTCATGGGCCTGAAAAACCCTTGAAGCTCATGATCTTTTCTTTGCTTCTGAGAAAAGAGATTAAATTAACAAATTATGACTGGCAAGAAAGTTAGACCAAGATCTGAATGTTCTTTTCCACCAGATACATTATTCATATTGCAACAAAGGAAAAGAACATGTAATGTTTATAAAATTCCTGTGAGAAATATCTTTTATATCAAAAATGATGTTGCCTTAACTAACATTTTTATTTGGAAAGTGGAAAGGGACAAGGGACTTAGTGTCTAAAATGAGGTAAGAAACTTCATACCCAGTCCTTCATTTCCCAGGTGAGGGGAAAGACCCACTTTTGACAAAGTCTCCAAAACTTTCCTGTGGGTTCCTTCAGTTTCAGGTATAGGATGAAGCAGCCATTTGGTGCAACCCACCCCTTGGCAGAGAATTGGAAATCTCTGAGTAATATTTGATTATTTTCTTGCATGATAAATAGTAGAAACTTAAAAATCTTTTGACTGATCTCTGCCTCCTGGCATCTTTGAATACCCATTACATTATGTTTAAAAGAAGCAAAAGCAGGTTTATCACAGAAAATGGTCTAATTCAGACTGCTTCTAAACCATCCCCTGCGTACTTACTCCAGGTGATTTTCTTTTCACCATTCAGCTCTTATTTTAAAAATCTGACATTATTTAAAAAAAAAATCTCTTCACTAGTTACTATGTTTAATTTCCTTCATGGAACTTACTGCTTTCAATAACTACTGTGTTATTTTCTTTTTGTATTTGAAATTACTCCTCCACCTTCCCTTTAGTTTGTAAGTATCAGGAGGGCAAGAGTCCTGGCTATTGTGGTCATCACCAAGGTTTGGAGCACAGCAAGTTCACAATGAAAAGTCCTGTTATTGAATAATAGAATGAATGAATGAATGAAGGCAGGTTGTAAAACCTGTGTTTTCTGTTATACAGCCTTGAATGATTGGATATTCCAATGTATCAAAGATACGAATCTATCATAGACAATACAGAGGCAATGGAATTAAAAAATCCTTTCCAGATGGCTTTTATAAGGCAGTGATGATGATGTTCAGTTTCCTTAGTTTTAGTGAAAAGAAGGGAAAAAAACCCAAAACCATTACCTGAGTCACACACTGGGACAATTCAGTTATATATCTCGGACACCAAAGACCCAGTAAACAATGTTCAAAATGGTCCCCAACTTTTGTGTTTGTGATAAAGTCAGCATGCAATTCTAAAGTACACACAAAATAGTCTAAAAATGAGGTACACAACAAGAAAAGATTCTTAGATGCATGCGATATTTGAGTTGGCGAGGACAGCAGAGAGCCAACATTCTAAATGAGTTTGAGTAGCAGGTCCATAAGGGAAATGACCTTCCCAGCTAAATATAGATATTTATGGGTGCCTTTGGGAACAAATGACAACTATGGAATTAATGGAACCCTAAAAATGATATATTTACATTGTGCCACAATAATTAGTGGATTCAGTAATATACCAAAAAAAAAAAAAATCAACATTATTGTTAGTTTGTCATGATGTAGACCAAACAGTCACTTGTTTTGGCAGAACTCTGAATCAAGCTGAGTTGGAAAGCATCCCACTCACTCATGAATTTCTATTGTAGTAAACAAGTCAGAGAGTGCCCTGACATCGTGCTCTGGACCAGCTCATCATTCACATCTAATTATAGGAGTGACACAATCAAACAATTAAGGGTGCACAGATTACTTCTTGAATAATTTTTATTCCTTGGCCTTATTATAAAAAAGAATAATATTTTAACAAATTCTATTTTAGAGATTATATTTCTATTATTTTTCCTTTTAAGAAGATATTCTAATTTTGTGCAGTTGATTCTCTTTTATAGATACCTCATAATTAGCAATAGAATTCAGGACCTAGTATTTTGAGATTTAGTCAGGAAAACTATGTCAATCAAAACAAAATTAATTGGTTGCAAAAAAATGAGGCCTTCCAAATTGTTTTAGGAATCTGTTATTTCTATGGTATGAATAAACTCAGACATAATGAAGAGACTTGGTAAATCAGAGGCCTTTCTCCTTCCACTCCATATTTATTCAATTTTACAACAGCTTTTGGTTTAATTTAATACATTATTGTAGAAGAAAGGGTCCATAAAATAGTTACAAAAAAGTGAGAAATAAGTCCCTTTTAGTTTTTTTAATGAAGCATTAAAAAGTAGGATACTTAGAAAATGACATTCAAATGATTTTTTAATTACTACAAAGGCATTGAGATGTTAATATACTTCATATAAAAGGGTTACTTTTCTATCCATCCTTTTCTGCCTTGAATTCCAACTCTAAGAAAATTATTTCTTTTGATCCACTCTGATAGCATGTAATAAAAGAACAATAAAACATATGGCTCAATTACCACTGCTTCTCATCAAGCATGAATTAATGAATAACAAATTATTATTAATTGTTTTTTTTGGCTTCCTCTCCTTAGGACAACAATTATGCACTGCTGTATTTTGACAAGTATTTTGTGTTTAACACTTTGTGGGCCAGTCTCTAAAAGGGACAAATGCTTAAAATTGCTATACTGAGAAAAATTCTTTAAATTTATCAACATTTAGAAAACACATGATTATCTTATAATCTCCCTAGTTTTTGTCAGCTTTTCACAAATACCTTAGACAATCCTGGAATTCTATCCCCTCTCAATGTTCCACATGCCTCCCCTCAAGATGCAGTAGCTGTGTGCATATTAAAGTTTGTAAGTTTAATTTCTCGATTTTCATAATACTAGCTCTTCACACATGACTATGAAATTTTCAATTCTTTAAGAATGGTTTAAAAATAAAAGCTACAGCTTGAACAGTTAAAAAATTAAGTTAACCAGCATGATATAGAATATAATAAATTGTGATCAGTATAATTGACTAAATCAATGTTAGTGAATGATATTCATAGACATTCCAAAAAAAGATTTTGTGTGCATGATATTTCACTTTATTTTTTATCAGAGTTCTGTAAACCTAAAGTGCTATGTAATATGGATAGATGTAACATGCTAAAGAATATGACTGTAGTCCATAACCATTATTTCTCATAGATGATTTGTATACCCACATTTTGAAATGCATGCAAAGAGTAATTTAACAAATTATATACAAACTATGCATGTCAGATTTTACCCACTACCCATAAATCCATGTTTTTATGTTTTCAAAACAAATTCTATAAACATTTATCTGTGATAAACTGAAGGATGATTCTAAAGTGTTTCAACGTCCTCTTTACTTCAATAGGCTCAACAAATACACGTTCAGGGATCTTTCAAAAGGGCAAACAAAAACTTGTTTTAGAATCAGAGAATTTGGAAACCAATGGGACTTTAGAAATAATTTTGTTCAATGTCCTTCATGTTGCAGGTAATGACACAGAGATATGGAAAGTTTAAGTGATTTTCTGAGACCCATTCAACTTTGTATATTAAGATCTTTCTGGCAAACTTTACAAGAAAAATTCTAGTATCATTTCTTTTGTACATAAAGGAAACATATCTTGTCTCCTTGACAGTTTTTCAGGAGTCATTAATATCTGTAAATCCAAATTCTTAGGGAAATACAGGTGAGAAAATGAGAAACTTTTCTGTCATGGAAACCGTGATGCATAACTAAGGTGGAGAAGGGCTGGACCTGGTTAGAGTTGACAGTGCTCACTGCCAGCAGAAGTATCACCCTTTGACACTTGGTACCTAGAAACATTTGGATTTTTGATCACTAAATCTACTTGAATACTAGATAATTCCTTTATGTATATGACCTTTTGAAGGCAATTAGATTATTTATGTAATGGCAGAATTCTTAATTGTATGAGTCAATCTTCAGTGTAAAAGCTTTTCTAGATTACACTTTCTTAAAATAATTTTTAATTCCTTAGTGAATGCTTTCATCTTGATTTCCATGTGGCAGAATTATTGAATCCACTTTGCTGAAAAATTTAAAGAAAACAGGAGTTAGAGATAAATACAAATTCAGTACAAAAATAAGCCTATCACTGCAATTTGAAAAATACTCATTCCTAAAGGGGGTGAATTAACCATTCCACTTTTTCTTTCTATTGTATTCATCACTGTGACTTTTGGTGATTCCACAACTAGAAGGTTCTAGTGCCTGTTACACATATTTATGGGGTGTCTGAGAGTCAAGCCTTGACAGCTCACATCTACGATAGATCATGCAATGACTATGGAATTCCCACAGACAGGAAGACACAAAGACTTCTCAGTCTTCTGTGAACCACATCTTCTAAGCCATGCCATGGACTTCAGGGAAACTGAAAGTTTTAGAGGCATGTACATTGAAGCCCTTGATATAATATTGAATCATGAAAAAGCTGCTAAATTAGGAAAGAAAACAGAATATAAGAACTGTCTGGGAAAAGGAGAAAATAGAAGGCAAAGTATGAATATAATTAGGTTTGTTCTTGTAATGGATTCTGCAGCCTGATGGAACGTGGGTTTCTGAATAATTTTCAGAGCATTTTCCAGATGTAGCTTCCCTGTTACTTATTAATATCACACATTTGTCATTAAATTTCATATTTTGGAACCTGTGAGAATCATACGTTCCTCTTTTAATTCACCACTCCAAGATATCACAAAACTTGTACTTCAGTTAATTATGATGACCAGCTTCCCATTAGCATCTATCTACTTATTATTGAATTTAAAAGTAAAATGTTGATACTGACTTTTAAAAACAATCATGGTTCGCTGGATTTTATCTGGCCAACTTACTATGCACATCTATTAAATTAACTTTCAAAGTATTCAGTGCTAAGTGTATGGATAATTTAAATTAAAAATGCAGCTTCTCTTTTCTTCTCATATCATTTATGCTTATAAAAAATCTTAAATTGAAAAAAAACTGACTTACTAGAGAGTTATCTAGAATTAACTCTAAGTTTTCCATTTAAAAAACTAACATCAAAAGACATTTAGCTCAATAACCAAATTAGGTTTTAAAAAATATATTCCAGTACATTCACAGAAATGAACTTTAAACAATTATTTGAGCAGGGAAGGTTTTAAAATAAATGACTTCTTTGTTTAGTTGTATCTATCTATGTCTGGTTGTTACTATAAAACAATATAAATGTTGACTGATTTTATACCATAAAATAATACCATAGCAAGAATTATCTGCACCTGAATTCTTAACTAAATACAATATTTTTACTTTATTGGAAACCTTCATTTTCAACATTAAATACTTAATGTAAATGAAAGTGATAGTTCCTTATGGAATTTAACACTTACCTAGAACTTTGGAGTAGCAAGGTTCACAGTGTATTGTCTGTCTATAAATCCATATGCTGTCACCTGCTTGTAGGTTTTCCAAAGGTTGCTTACATATTTCACACTAAAGGGAAGAAATACACATACACATATATAAAGTTTACACTAGATGTGAAGTCTAGATCCTTAGAGTGACAGGATGGCAAAACCCTTTCAATTCATTTGGTACCATCTTCCATAGCAATATTCAGATGAAGTCTCAGAACCCCAGGGAAAGTAAGTGAGCACTTATTAGTACTTGTTATAGATAATAGATTAATGTGCTTAATTCTTATAATCAATTGTCAAAGCATATTTCTACCACCAACATATACATTTCAAGCATATCTATTATTGAAGCTTCTACTAAATTCACAATGGAGTAGGTAGATGATTTTTAAATAGTTTATGCCAAGGACAAGATCGCCAATCAACACCTTAAACAAAAGCACAAAGCATGTTTAATGTTCACTAGCTTAGGAGAGCTATGCTTCAGTTCTAGCTTCAGTGAAAAAAAATAAATTTCTGATGTTACTTAAGAGTTTAAGGGTTTGAGTTGTGAGTATAGAGGCAAAAAAGGGTTGACATCTGCCTTAAACCTATGATCTTTGGAACAAGTCCACTGCTGGTTGGCTGACTTTCAACATGAGGTTATCACTGATTAGTTGATTTTTAGGAGGGAAGTTCACTGATGTAAATTATCATTGATCAGTTGGACATATTTAAAACAACCTTGGTGATTCTCTATTATCATGGTTATGGACAATCTACCTTTTCCTAGAAGTGTGGGAACATTCTTATTCTCAGTTAGTAGTGCTTTATAATTAAATTGAATATGGAAATAAGTCACCCAAATATAACAAATGGTAATTATTCTTATTTGTCATAAGTAATAATCAGAAGACTTTCCTGATTTTCACGTTTTCTGCATAAAATTTTTAAATAAAGAAATATAGACAAACTTGTTTAATTGAGCTTATTTTGAAAGCTAAAAGAAAATTTTATTTTCTCAAAACTATGCAATCTTCATGTCATTTATATAGAGTATATCTTTTATATAGACTACATCTTTTATATAGATTCTATATATTATGTCCTAAAATTGTGTTTTCTGACTCAAAAGGCACATCATACTTCTGATTTCTGTATGTTACTACCTGAAGTTAATTGAAGGAGAAGCAATTAGTTGTCAATGTATTAACTACTTGACTAAATTAGTTAATTTGCATCAACCACAGAATGTTAGCACTAGAAAAGTCCCATAGATTTAGATAAATGATTCTCAAACTGATGGATCTTACATAGATCTATATAAAGATCTATGTAAGGAACTTTTAAAAATATCAATGCTAGGAATTATCTCTGAAATGCTTGATTTATTTGGAGCTGGTCCCAAGAACTATACTTTTCTCATAATCTCCCTGGATGATTATAATGTGCAGCCACAGTTAAGAACATTGGTCTAGTCAATCACCTCACCATACAGATGAGAAAACAGGTCAAGCTAATTTAGGTAATTCTCAAAGTCACACAGTCAGTGGCACAGTTAGAATTTGAACTCGGATCTTTAGATTCCCAGGACAGTGTTCATAGAGTTCCACAAAAATCTATACTGTTTGTTACCTATTGTTAGAAGTAAGAGAAATGACATATGAAGACACAAACTGTAAAGCATTCCATTGTATAAACTTTGTTATTATTTTATAAGCCACAATTTCTTACAAGTAATCATGCTTTCAAAAGCAGACTGTCAGCTATTGTTTAATCCATCAGTTCCAGTTTCATTATATAGGGAGCTGCCAGTTTTCTTCTTAACAATTTCTTTTCCTTTTTGGATTTCATTATATATTTTATATAATGCATGATTTATTAAAATATTACAAAAGCTTTTATAAAAAGAACAAGTGTTTATCTTTTTACAGATGAACTCTCTAGGGTAAGAGTCATAAATGTGTCAGTAATCATCTTTAAGCCTAAAGCCAAGATAATAATTATAAACCTTCAAGGCTTAGACTGCAGAACTCTAAGAAATATTTAAGTAGTGCATTATTAATGTGCATGAGAGTATTTCTGAAAGATTTAACTTCATTTCACGTATTTCATTAAAAATTATTTTATTCTAGTAATCATGCAATTTTATATTTAGTTAAAGGCCATAAACATATTCTTACCTTGAAGCAAGTGGAATGGCAGCAAATTTGTAATTCATCTAAAATCATTTTTGTTTCTGTGCCCAAGGGTTTTCGGCAGTAAGTGCACATATCTCTTTCAATGACAGACCTATAGAAATGTATGCAATTAAAAATAAATTTGTCATCACATAAAAGATAGATGTATTCCTCATCAAGTCATGTGGGAATGATATGCTAATTCTGTTGATACTTCAGGAAATTGCATAAAAATCAAGGAAAGTTCAGAGTCTATTAATTCTAGTGATAGAATGGATTCTCCTAGTCACTTCAAAATGATATCAGAGAATTAACATGAAGGAAAGTCTCAAATTACTAATTCATTAGTAGGAGTTCATCTGGGCAGGGGGAAGATGTTCACAATTTCCTAATTCAACTAGGTCACAAGTATTCCTTGAAGCTAGAAGAGCGTTTTGAATTATTAATTTACATAAATCATGGACAAATTATGCTGCAGATTAATATAAAATTTTAACTCTCAAAACATTGAATAAGACAAAAATAGAAATTCATCCCAGAGTGTGTTGGAAAATTTACAAATGAAGACTTTAGGTTTAGAGACCAGAAAATGGTCCCTTGTAACACTTCTGTCATTGTCACAGAAAGACACAGAATACAGGGCTGCCTTTCATGGCAAACTTTATTTTTTCTAATAAGACATAGTCCTACCACAAATTTGATGGGAGAAAAATTTTGGTTATTTATTTTAGAAAAATTCTGTCCAATAATTTATAAACTATAAATGTGATCAGTAAAATACCTCTGAATCATATACAGTGTTATAAACCAATGTTAATTAAAAAAATAAACAAACATTATTGCATAGCCATTAACAGAAATATGCTTTAGTAGCAGAAAACCATAAAATAAATTGGTACAAACCAAAGATGATTGATAGCTGGATGGATGGATGGATGGATAGATAGATAGATAGATAGATGTGTGTGTGTGTGTGTGTACACACACATGCATCTTAAAGAAAGCTAATAAATGTATGATTCTTCCCTTTGGGAGGTCTTAGGACTATCTTAAAAAAGCATGGAAAACGCACATGTTTACTAGTCTTGGGGTACTAGCAGGCAGGCCTGCAATTTCAAGTAGGATACATAATGGAGTGATGATATAAAAATAGCAAATACTCAGAAAGTTTGAATTTGCTTAAAATACAGTGTATTTTCCCCATGCACTTTACCTTATATCAACTAATTTATTCTACACCACATCTCTGATAAAAAGGTTTTACAGACCCGTTTTTGTTTTTGCTTTCACAAAATAGGAGATGACACAGAAGGGCAAGTAATTTGCTCTGATTATGCAACTGGTGAGTGGCATAGGAGGGGCTGCATGAAGGCAGTGTGGTTCCAGAGTCCATGAGCTACCTCTGGGTCTGCATGTGAAGTAGAGCCTGAGGTCTACTGGGTTTGCTATGTTGAAACGAAAGAATCGCACTAGGAGCCATGATGCTATCCCCGGACCCAGGACAAGCAGCAGCGAGGAGGGAATATGGAGGGGAAAGGAAGGTGGAAGAGGAGTGGACTAAGAGATAAACCTTGCCAGGTTGTACACTTTCCATCATTTTAGTGACCTCTCAGTTACTCTGGGTATATAAATACATATTTTCCAAGTCTTCCGATGAACTCTATAATAGTTACTGGCTTACCTATTCCTGAGAAATATTTTCTATGGATTATTTACATACACATATGTATGCACATGTCCACTTAAATTCCCCATGTAGAATGTAAGGGCTTCAAGAGTTGAAAACAGTCATTCTCTATCATTCTTTCCCATCTGTGAGTCTTTCCCTCCAGAGGCACTGAATGGGGGGCACCAGGAGTGAAACAGATGACTCTGATGATGGGCCCGCTGTCCACTTGGGGAGCCAGATGTGTGATTCAATGATCCAAGAATATGATGGATATGTAGAAAGGGTTAAGAGAAGGCAGAGTAGGGAGTAACTCAACAGCAACAAGGAGCTCAGTGAGGTGAGCCATGAGGTGGGGAGGGGCAGGATGGAAGGATCTCAAGCACAGGGAACAGACCCCGGCACTGTACCATGAGGGTGTTTGGAGTGACCGAGCACTCCTCAGTACTCAGCAGGAGTGGGTTCTGAGGGCCACAAAAGAATGTGCTGAGGAATTTGGTGTTTACCCTGTGAAGTGGGAAGCCACTGTCAATGAGATTGATGTGCTCAGGCAATAATGTTTGGAACATAGCTTATTGCACATAATAATCAACAGAAGCAGTTGCTTGACTGACTGGTCTTATGAAGAATTAGCTTTTACTGTGATGACTAAGAATAAATTCAAGGACAACTTTAGGAACAGAGGTCTTCTTCATATTAAGAATAATGCTCAATGCGCTTATAAAGAAACTTTTCCTTCTGCAAGTTAACAAAGAAAATACAAACCTGGGAAAAATTCTGATGCTATAGTTGTACTTAATTATGTCATACTATTAGTCAAAGATCTTTTCAAAGTGTGATCTAGCTTTTTGTTACCTAAAAATGGTATTTGCAGCTTTAATGCTGTGTAGATGACTTTACTCCTCAAAAAGGCATGACTTAAAAGCAAGATATTCAGAAGAGGAGTAGTAATACAAGAGCTTATAAAAATGACAGACAAGGCCTGTAATTTTGATGCTGGTTCCTCCACGCTGCCCTTAGCAAATGGACATAAGTTCATTTTTTCAGAAAGCACTTACTGAGTACCCATTAGATGCTGAGCACTGCATTACAAGCTGAGACTGTACATAAAAATAAGTCATACATCCAAACTCTTAATAGGTACAATTTCCAACTTCTGCTATTGAGAAACACCATCATCACAGTAGCAGATATTTGCATGATAGCTGGTTTCAGTAGGTGGATTAAAACGGTAATTATTTGTTTTCATTTTCTCCACTGGAAAACTTCAGGTCATACTTTCATGTGTGTTACCTCTGTGTCCCACTGAACATTAAGTGCTAAAAGAGGATCAACAACAGCAATGGGATCAGTTGCACTAAATTGATTCTCATTCTAATGCCCCTCCTGGGAGCTAGGGTGGGTTACAGCAGTGTGTCCCTGCAGCTGTTTGTAAGGTGAACTGGCGTAGGAAAACCGCAGACACACAGGCTAGTTGTGCCTCGACACTACTTATGTGGTTGTACTGGGGACTCCTGGGAGTCTACAAGAGCAGAGTGGCTGGACTGGGAGCAGCTGTGAAGCACAGAAAAGTCTATTGGAATAACGTGCATCAAAAATCAAAGAGCAACAACAACCAGGACATGAAGAAACAAGTTCCCAGATGCAGAGATTGTTAGACTCTGTTCCATTCATACACATACGTAACAGTTACCTGCAAGAGTGCCATCCCCAAGCACAACAGACAACAAGAACATACAGCGATATGAAGAGGGAAACACAGAGAGAGCTATTCGAAAATACACGTATATGTGTGTGTATGTGAGTATAAACACAGATACATGAGAATATATACACAGACATAAATATTATTTATGTATATGTGTATATACTTTTATGTACTGAACTATAAACATACTCACCTATCTGAGGTTGAATAAACAGTCTGTATGTATTTTCCAGAAACATTCTCCTGAAAGCCAACCTTTGGTGATTTACTAGAAGCAAACACATATGGATATGTGAGATTTGGCTATGTCCCTACTATTGGTGTATCTATTCAAATGCAGTTGAGGGAGCACAAATCCCCATTTATGCAGCCTTGTTATTATTACTGCTTTGGTGTTATAAGCCAGGACAATGTATTAACACCTCTTTTAACAAAAATTGGAGGAGTATTGGTACATAAGCCAAGTTGACATAAATCGACATATCTATGCATGTAGACAGAGAATGGAGTAAGGGACAAAGGAACAATGTGAGCAGGAGAAAAACAATCATTTTTCATGAAATTTACCCTTGCACCTCCCTCACTTATCTACTAAAAGAAATTTCTACATAGGGCCACCCCAGGTGGCGCAGCGGTTGAGTGCTGGGCTGCAAAGCTGCCTGCAGTCTCTGCAGCACCGGTTCCATCCCCAGCCACCGGGGAGGGTCCCACATGGTGCGACAGACCTCTCCTGCCATGCCCGCTGCACCCTTCAGCAGCATATTTCATCAGTCTGCCTGTCTGTTCCCCGCTTTGGTTCTGGTGAATTCTCTCACCCTCCCACGCTTCTGACTGTACCCAGTGCTTGTATAAATGAATAAATAAATCTTTTTTTTTTTTTAAAAAAAGAACTCTGAGATAGGCGATTTTTCATTAAAAAAAGAAATTTCTACGTAGTCTTGCATAAACAAAGGAAACACACACAGTGCAAGCCAGCAGAATCACATACACAGATACACAAAGAGAAACAGAGACTCCTGAACTGTTAGAGAAAGCTTTGTCTTTGTCTAAGTTTTTATTTTCCCAAAAACATTCAAAAATGTTTAGAATGAAAACTCCAAGAAATGTAATTTTTTAAAGTTCTCTCGTTTTCCTTTTCTTACATTGCCCCAGCTTGTAATCATCACTATGTCCTGGAGACAAATGAAATCTGTGATGCACTAGCCAGCTGGCTGCTCATGATTGCTTCCCATGCGCTTATGTTACCTGTGAGTGCATTAGGACTGGAAGCAACATGCTCCTGTTATTTCATGCAGCGAGAACTAATCCACAGCCCTCACTTTATATTTTTTAATGAAAATCTCTCTACCTCCAAACTGCCCATAAGCAGACTGCTATCAGAAATAGAATCTACTTTATAAAACACATAACCCACAGCACTAAATAAGAGTGCACATATTTTTGCATGATACACAGATGATTACTCCATTGTATTGATGAAGAAACTGAGACCTGAAGAGGTTCGGTAGCTTTGCCAGGCACAGAAAATGATGAAGATTCAGTCTCAAATCTGTTCTATTGTCTCTGCATTGTCATTGGAGATTTTAGGAACATCATATTAAGCAGAAAAAAAAAAAAACAGAACTGCATTTTATGAGGTTAGTTATGTGTGGGTTTAAGAAATCTTTCTTTTTTTAAGGTTGCTCACTGCCTAACACATACTGAATTTCCTGTGTTATATTAAGATATTTAATCCACCCCTGACTTTTTTCACTATTTCAAAACTACTTCATATTGCAAAGAATTACATATACCTAGAACTCATCATATTCTTATGTAGTCTTCTATTTGAAAAAAGCATGCATACTTCACAACAACAGCATCTCTTCTTAAATAGAAACCATTTCAAATTATAAAATATAGCAAAATAATTTAAATAAATTTCCAGTACCTATTCTCCACATAAGTCCTTGTGTACACTACAGTATCCTTTGGTCCTGCATTCCTGGTTTCAGTATTGGAGCTGCAATATAAATCATTTTTCTTCACATTTAAAGTTTATTTACAAGCATGATGAAAATAACCAGGCTATTATCCAATCCAATGCAAAAAATAATGCTCTTCTATTTCTTATGAACATAACCTTTGAAATACAAATATTAAAGTGGTGTCAATCCAAAATTTCTTCAAGCCTCCCACTTTGTTTTTAACAGCCACTGCCTTGGCCTGCCTCCAGAATACTATTACGAAAATTGGTCACTCAGTAAATCTGTCACAGAGCTTAAAGATTACTTTGATTATTTGTATCGTGTGTTTTCATGTCTGTTTCACTGATGTCCCATTTCATATTTCCAAACCATAACTTTCTAACTCAGCACTTTTGTGTAGAATTCTTTATATTGATAAAATCAGGAACTTCTGCATTTCAAAGGAAGCATAAGGTGTATATAGGAGGTCTTCTGACAACAGAAGGAGAATAGCACTGTCATTTGCTTTATAATTGACCATATTACCTGAGATTCTTTTTGGTCTCATAAGAATATGCAGTTGTTCTAGTAGGCTGGTTGTTGACAGCATCATTGGGTCCTTTGACATGGCCTTCTTGCCTGAGAAAGCAAACACAAATATTTGGTATTCAAAAGCAAGGCCTCGCAGAAGCTTTTTGCATCATAAAATTCCATTCTAGTAACTTTTTTTTTCTTTACATAGGGTGAACCTCTTTATATTTGCCAGGTTTCTGCACAGAAACATTAATAGGATATATGTACTATTTTACTCCCTCCATGGGGACTAACTTACTTTAAGAATGATCTACTGGTGTATGTATCATTATCAAAGACAAGGATAGAATACTTTTTCGCAAGGACTGAACCACCTGTAATTGGTTTCAGTAATATTTTCCCACCAGTAGTGCCATTTAAAAAAGCTTCTTATGTACAATATACCTGAGCATTTATCAACTTAGGGTTTATCAATTTTTTAGGAGTTGCTTTCAGAAATTCTAGTTTCCATTTTCTTATTAATGGAAAGCAATACTTTGAAGCAGAATTCTCAACCAGATTTGTGCTAAACTAAAAATGTCACTATACTTAACATAGTGTAGGCATATTTACTTTTTTTCCTGTAAAAGAGGAAAATTTTTTTTAAAAAAAGATTTATTTTTTTATGCATATAAGAGCTGGGGTACAGGCCAGAGATGTGGGGGGTGAGAGGATTCACCAGAGACAAAGTAGGGAACAGAATAGGCACACTGACTGAACTACACTGCTGAGGGGAGTAGTGGGCAAGACAGGAGGGGTCTGCCTCGCCATGTAGGTTGCTCCCTGGCTGGCCAGGGATTGAACTAGTACTGCCTGGCCAGCCAAGGATTGAACTAGTGCTACAGAGGCTGCGGATTGCTTCATAGTGCGGTGCTTAACCCCTGTGCCACCAGGGAGGCCCCAAGAGGAAAGTTTTATTTTTTTTTATTTTTTTTTTTTTTAAATATTAAATTTTATTTTTATATTCCCCCATACAATTGCAAACGCCCCATTCTGACCCCAATCCTTCCCCTCCCGCCCCCCACCCCCCAAAAAGTGTCTCTGGTTCATAGTTTTTTGTTGATTTTGATTTTCAATTTCTTATATTCATTTTCCTGGTCCCTTATTTAAGTTTTCTAGATTCCTGCTATGAGTGAGACCATCCGGTATTTTTCTTTTTCTTTTTGGCTTATTTCGCTCAGCATGATCCCTTCCAGTGCCATCCATGTTGCTGCAAATTGCATGTGTTTATCTTTTTTGAATGCTGAGTAATATTCCATGGTATATATGTACCACATCTTCTTGATCCAGTCATCTATTTTTGGGCATTTGGGTTGTTTCCAAAGCTTAGCTATTGTAAACAGTGCTGCTATAAACATAGGAGTGCAGGTGCTCTTTGGTCCAAGAGGAAAGTTTTAATGGAGAAATATTGAAAGCTTTAGCTCTTTTCTTCCCCCATGTTAGCAAACTCTCATACAGGAGAGATATGAACACCAGGAGGAGAGTTCAGATTAATCCAGCTTTATCATTCTCAAATGGGCTGTTCCTTTTGATGGAGGACAAGAATAGAAAAAAAAAAAAAACTGAAAAGAAGGTGCACCACAATATGAGAAACCTGGCTCACACAAGGAGGTGGGGTAGAAGAGATTAGCATAGCCATTGACACAGCTATGGAAACTAAGATCCTTAGGCACAGAGGACACAGTTGCAGAAACTGGTATCCTCAGGCGCAGACTACTATCCTTAGATGCTGATGCCTAGATTACAAAGCACAACATCCAAGCAGGTATCTGAGGGCACATCCAAAGGTAAAGATACAGAGATTGAGCCCATTGTGGAATCTCAGGTTCCTTTCAAATTCTACATAGTTATCCAAAATTAGCAACCAACTGAGCTGCAAGGAGTGGCTCCTCCCAAGCAGAAGAAGCCTATATCAGTGCATTCTCTGTACAGGTTCAGGGCAGCACTTCCATAGCCCACCTGTGCCTATGCAGGTGCCTCTTTTCACCAACTCTCCTTTGCAGGACAGCAGCCCTCCTGGCTGGCCGCCTGCAGCCATGCAGTCCTCTCTTAGCAAATCTGTCTCTTTCGGGGCAGCTCTTCCTGCCTGCTTGTGTCCATGCAAGTTTTCTTTATTCCTCTGTCCCTCTTCCTAATAAACCTGCTCTTTAACTATAACTATCATCTCTGTCTGGTGGAGAAACTCGCCTGGGAAACTCTCCGCGTGTCACTGAAACGGGAGCTCTGGTGAAAATTTCCCAGAGTAAACCCAAGGACCCCACTCTCCAAACCCACTGACTCCAAAAACCACAACACATTTTTTTTTTCCCAGACAGCCCTTAAAGAAGAGGAAAACATTTGTTCACATATTATTTCTAGCAAAACAAAAATCACCTTCTAGTTTTAGGGCACATAGTTTACAAAACATGCAACCAAATTATAATAATACTAAGGGATAAGAGAGTGGCAATTAATATTATTACTGAAATTTTTATTTGATTACTAAATATTGCATTCCAGGAAAAATAAACCTAGTGAGGAAGTGTTTGGGAATATTCAAATCTTATAATAAAAAATAAAAATAATACATATATGAAACACAACTTCACTAATAAATAATTTTAAAGACAAGCATTGCTGGAGAATTTGAAGTGTTTGCATTGTCCTCAGCAATGTAAAATCAAATATTGCCAATTTGCAAAATTTGCAAATAGAAGAGGACAAGAATTTACAAATAGTCTGGTATGTATTGAACTATGCTCCCCCCCATTCATATGTTGAAGCCCTAGTGCCCAATGTAATTTAAAAATAGGACCTATAAGGAGATAACCTTTAGGTTTGGATAAAGCCTCACCACATTACCATTTCTGCTCTTGAATTTCCATTAAATTCCTTCCATTAAAAACTCTGTCCTTCCAAACTGGGTCGCTACATGCAAAAGAATGAAACTTGACTACTACCTCACACTATGCACAAAAACCAACTCAAAATGGATTAAAGAACTAGACATAAGACCTGAAACCATAAAATACATAGAAAGAAATATAGGCGAAACACTACATGACATGCACCTCAAAGACATCTTTATAGACACATCACCCAAAGCAGTGATAGTGAAGGCAAAGATAAACAGCTGGGACTACATCAAATTAAAGAGCTTCTGCCCAGCAAAAGAGACAATAACCAAAACAAAGAGAAACCCCACCAACTGTGAGAAAATTTTTGCACCCAACACTAATGATAAAGGACTGATCACAAAAATCTACAAAGAGCTGATGAGACTCAACAAAAACAAAGAAAATAATCCAGTCAAAAAATGGGCAGAAGAGCTAAAAAGAAACTTCTCTGAAGAGGAAATACAAATGGCCAACAGGAATATGAAAAAATGTTCAACATCACTTGCAATCAGGGAAATGCAAATCAAAACTACCATGAGATACCATCTCACACCAGTGAGAATGGCACATATTAAAAAAAACTAGCAACAACAAATGTTGGCGAGGATGTGGAGAAAAAGGAACACTCCTGCACTGCTGGTGGGAGTGCATACTGGTCCAACCACTATGGAGAGCTGTGTGGAGATTCCTCAACCTACTAAAGATAGAGCTCCCATTTGATCCAGCAATTCCACTCCTAGGTATTTACCCAAAGGACACGGAAACATCAATTCCAAAGAGCACCTGCACCCCTATGTTTACAGCAGCACTATTTACAATAGCTAAGCCTTGGAAACAGCCCAACTGCCCAAAAATAGATGACTGGATCAAGAAGATGTGGTCCATATACACCATGGAATATTACTCAGCAATCAAAAAAGATAAACACATGCAATTTGCAGCAACATGGATGGCGCTGGAAGGGATCATGCTCAGCAAAATAAGCCAGAAAGAAAAAGAAAAATACCGGGTGGTCTCACTCACAGCAGAAATCTAGAAAACTTAAATAAGGGACCAGGAAAAAGACTGATTATAATAAAGTAAAACTCAAAATCAACAAACAACTATGAACCAGAGACACACTATAGGGGGTGTGGGGCAGAGAAAGGAGGGATTGGGGTCAAAATAAGGGAGTTGCAATTGTATGGAGAATATAAAAATAAAATTAAAAAGATAAATAAAAAAAATCTGTCCTTCCATTAAAAAGTCCTTGTTCAACTGAGAAAGCCCAAGTGAAACTGGAGCATCTCTCAAATCACAATTAATGGGAAGTTACTTAATTACATTTATTCATTTTCTTGTAATTTTTTCCACTTTGATCATTCCAAGTAATATTTGAATGAGCTTTATTAATTGTATTGAAGCTCTATTTCCAAAAAGTGGATTTTTTCCCAAGACCAATGGAGCCTATTAAAAATTTAACCTCCCACATTCTATCAAAAACTTGTTTGGAATTACCAAAGAGGGGGAGAGAAGAGAGAGAGAGAGAGAGAGAGAGGAGAGAGAGAGAGAGAGAGAGAGAGAGAGAGAGAGAGAGAGAGAGAGAGAGAGAGAATAGGAAGGTCATTAGAGGAATTAAGAGAACAGAAAGAAATTATCTACCTATTAATACAATAGCCTTTTATAGATATTATGAGGAGAAAAAGGACCTAGATCTTTTCCTGTTCTTCTACTCTATGTATATATTTGCTTAAAAAAATTTAACCAAAAAAAACCTTTTGTTAGTTTAGAAAGGTAAAATAGGAAGCTATTGAAGTCCTCCCACATGGAGGAAAATTGCTAAACGTGGACGACTTAAAAAAAATTGCTGCCAATTCAAACCCTTTACAACCACAATCCACGCTTATCTTCCCTGTAAGAGAAGGTACCACTTTTAAAGCTACTATACTCTGGCAAGAAGAATTTCAGAATTAGGTCTTGTTTTGTGGCTGTGATGAATTTGTGCTTTCTTTTGCACTAGATATCCAAGGAAGAGATTCCCAGAGTACTTTCTGGACTGCTGAATGCCTACCAAGCAACAGTAAGTAAAAATAAATCTTCACAGCCCAAGAGCAGAGCTCTGAATTTCCATGATGCTTTTTACATTAAGCAATAGAGCAGCAGAACTTTAGACAGAAATTCTGAAAGAATTCAGATTTTGTTAATTTTTTCCTATATCAGCTATTAAACTCCATGTCCATTATTTTTTGCATGTACATAGACCTTATTTTTAAATATCAGAAATATTATAAGGTTATATAAATTAGGCACACATGGAATTCATAAGAAAAAATTAATTTATGAATCCTTACCGTCCATTCTTATGTTTAGACACATTAGAATTTATTTCAATTACATTTTCTAGGTCCTGGTTTCTGTAGAAAAAAAATATAAATATATAACCTATCATTTATATATATCAATATATCATACACACACACATATATACACAGAGATACGTAACTTAGCTGCAATTTAATTTTAGGACATAAATATGAGAATAAAAAATTTTAATCAGTACATAATAGTAAACATAGTCATTTGCGATCAGAAAGATATGGGACATTGAAAATCTGACATGGAATTATTTGGCCTATACAACTCAAGTATGAGAGCTTGGGTCACACTGAGAGAGATAAAAAGAACTATTGTTTTAGAAAGGTTGAATAGCCTGGTCTTTAAAAATAAAAGGACTTATACTTCCATTCAACCAATATTTAAGGAGTACTAATTTTGCATCACAGAGTACTGTATATTTTTTCCTAGATTATTTCATTCAGATCTCACAAAGTCCTGCAGGACAGCCTCTGGGGCTCTAGAAGGTTAAGTGAATTTTCCAAGGTCAATTAACTAATTTGTAAGAGAGTCAAGATTTGAGGCCAGCCACCTGCCCAACTGAAATCAATTTTGGGGATTTAATTAGAGACTTCACTCTACCTTTCTAGATTACAGAAACACCAGAAGTCAACCCAAAATTTGAATAAACAAATAGAGGTCAAATGGAATGATCAATTATTAAATCTTGGACACCCTTTCATGAGATAGTATCTGCTATTAGGTTACTCAAGCATTAATATATTTACATATTATACATTAGCTATTAAAATATTTGGCATAGCGCTGCCAGTTCTTGATGTTTTTCATGAGTTTGGAAAATCTTTGTCATGCATCCTAAGGGTTAGGAGCATTGTTTAGGAATCAGAACAAGGAGGCTTTTATTGTCCTACTCCCTTGGGCGAATTACTTAACCTTTCTCACTTTCCTTTGTAAACTAGGATAGTAAAATGTAATCTGATAAGGTTGAAGTGAGAATCAAGGAGTTCATGTAAATAAAACTTGTGGGCACAATGACTACAGTAGTGGATGGAGTGAATAATTTTAAGTGACCATATAAGTGTGACACAACAGTAGGCACTATTGATTCCAAAATTTGGAAGGGCCCTACCTTTTCATTTTTATTCTGACCTAACTTTTCACATCATTGGAATTCACTTCAATTTTTATAAATCTCCCATCTCATGAACCAGAACAGTGGATTTAAATACATGGGCTCAATATTAGTATGGATGAAAAATATTATTAAAAACCCCTATATTTATATAGGATGAGATTTAATATTTCTTTTATATAATATCCAAATCAATAATTGATGAAACTGCAAATTCCATAGCTATATTTAATCTTCATATATAAAATATTAGCTGAATATTTTTACAAATGTAGAAATTAGTTAGATTATTTTTAATAGGAATTACAGTAGAAAATATGACTACATACACAAAAAGTACAGAAGTAGATCAGAGGCATTGTAACAGGGTGGTCCCCAGGAAAGAGGGAGGTTCTAGGTTTCCTGTCCCACCCAAGGGAGGGTGGAGCTGAGCAGAGAGAAAAGCTGCAGAGGAGACTGAGAAGGAAGGAAGCAGGATGGAGCCAGAAGGGGACTTGGAGGGGGCACATGGAGCAGAGAGACACACGAAGAAACTGCGCTTGCCTTTTGGTTGTGAACTGGTTGACACAGATGTGGGTGAGGGACCCATGGGGAGATGACAATGGCGGTTTTTGTCTTGATTTTGATTTTGCTCTTTTCCCTCCAGACTTGTCTGGTTGTTTCTGAACCTGTTCAGTGGGTCCCCACTGGAAGATGCTTTAGACTTGTGGCAGGCTTTGGGGACTCACTCTGGGCCAATCCCATTTGGATGGACTTTTATCCATAAGGGGATGGGTAACTTTGGGTGTTTGATTTAGAAATTATATTCTTTGTTTTTTCTGTATTGTTCACTAATTGTATTAAAGTTCTTTCCCACTAAAGTCTTATTTGTTTTGCGTTGATGCAGCAGATGGCAGAACTTATTTAGAGCAGGCAGGTTTGGGGGATTTGGGGTGCCCCTCTCCCTGCCCTGTAATAGCATCAAAAGCATTTGATTCTCCAGCATGAATGATGTAAAATTCAAAACTGACTTCCTCACCATCATGGCTATAACTCTAAGGAAATCTTCCAAATTGCACCCTTCAATTTAGAAATCAGGACAGAAAGCTTTGTGTTTGTGCAATCACTGATCATCCTTCACTAATTATTACATCCATTTTCTTGGCCTTAGGGGCCTTTGTAGTATCTTAATAACCTAAACATTAAGTAACCCTCCACATAACATTTCAGAATAATACTTCACTAAATACTTGGGATAATGGAATAAAATTAAGTAGAATATAATGTTATTCCAAGATCTAGTTTCCGAGGAATGCCAGGGTTGGGATCTTTGGCATGGTAAATAGTGAAAGGTCACCAGGAAATATGTATCTGTATCTTGGGAATTAGCATTTTGTCATAGAAAGTGCTTCCTGCTTCCTCCTCTACTGCTAGCCTTGGTGAACTGGGTGGCATTTTTTAAGGAAGCTGGTGGTTTATTGCAACATGAGAATAGAGTCACATTCCCATAGCCTGGCATAACTTTGCACATAATAGTTGACAAAATACTTATGAAATTACTTTAATTTAAATTCTCTTTTTCTCCTTCTGTTGGGAAGATTTATTACTTTCATACTTAGCTCTGGGAAGAGATAGTGTAAGGGCCATAAAGGGGAGAGATTAGACCCCAAACTCTTAAGGCAATAAGTTTAACTCATATCTATCTACATATCTATCTATCTATCTATCTATCTATCTATCTATCTATCATCTATATTTTTATACATCTCTCTCTCTTCCTTTCTCTATCTATCTATCTATCTATCTATCTATCTATCTATCTATCTGTTATAACCGTGTGGAAAAAACATCAAAGCCAGTGACGGGCATTTTACTTCCATTACTGCATCCCTGTACTGCACACATTTCTTTCCTTTATTACACAGTTCCCAACCCTGGATTTCCTTGTTTTGGAAGCTGTGTCCCCATCCCCCAGCTCCACTCCACAAATTTATATGTCAGGTCTAACTCCAGTGTGTCAGAATGTGACTTTAAAAAAAAAAAAAAAAAGATAGGGTCTTTACAGATGTAATTAAGTTCCAATGAGGTCATGAGGGTGGGCCCTATCGAATATAATTGGTATCCTTGTAAAAAGAAATTTGTACTCTGACACATATAGAGGAAAGACAGGTGAAGACACAGGATGAAGACAGACCTCCACAAGTCAAGAACAGAAACCTGTAATAAATCCTTTCCTCTTGGTCTTCAGAAGGAACCAACTCTACTGACACCCTGATCTTGACTTGTAGCCTCCACAATTATGAGAAAAAAAATTGTTTTAAGTCACCTGCCTGTGGCATTTTAGGATGGCAGCTCTACCAAAGGAAGACAGATGTGCTGCTGCCCTTTCAACATGGTTACGTTGAGTTTCTCAGCCTGGTGCTAGACTTCCTCACTTCCCCTAGCATTTTCTATTCCTGCAGTTATTACAGACACCTTCAGGCCCCTTTTCCCTGACTCCTCTAGGACACAGCCTATTTGGACCCTACCTATTGTGAGAAAGAGCAGGAATAGGTTTGAACCTGATGAAGAAAGCAGAATTTTGCAAATTCAACAACTATAGGCAGATAACTCAAAATTGGTACCTATGCATGCCTTCAAAGAATCACACTCCCAATGTGGTCTGAATATCGATCATTGAATGAGCCATAGTGTTTTTTTTTTGAAGACTTATTTATTTATGCATACAAGAACTGGGGTATAGGCTAGAAGTGTGGGGGTTGAGAGGATTAATCAGAGACAGAGCAGAGAACAGGACAGGCAGGCTGACTGAAACACACTGCTGAGGGGAGCAGCAGGGAGACAGGAGAGGTCTGCTGCACCATGTGGGTCACCTCCCTGGCCGGGGATTGAACATGAGCTGCAGTAACTGTGGATAGCTTCATAGGTTGCGTCCTAATCCCTTGTGCCACCAGGGAGGCCCTGAGCCATAGTATTTTTAGTGACATAGATTTTTCTTGTTTTTATTAAACAGCATCATCTCAAGTTTGGAGGAGTAAAGTATAAGATTTTATTCTGAATAATTTATACTAATATTTTAAATGAAACAGAAAGTTCCAGAAGATGAAAAGCACAAAATGCATATTTGCTTTGGTGATTTGCCATAATTCATACTGGCAAGATTTGAAGATCCAGTAAAAGAAGTCAAAATTGCCTATCAAGTTCCCAATTTGAAGAATAGTAATAAGTTTAATTCTTTACTTGAGACCACATCTATGGCTCATGTCTTTTTCATTGTGGGAGAAGATAAGGAACTATGATTCAAAGGGTCAAAATCAGATTTTTATAGAAGCCCAGTCAAATGCTGCAGGGTCAAGCAAAGGCAGTTGCAGTAGATAGAAGAACTTAAAATTTTGTACATCTACAAGCAATTGGAATTAACTTGAAGAAAAATTTTGCTAATTGCTGTTGAATCCTAGTGAAAGATGTTAAAAAGAAGTTTAATTTTGGTAAACTTTGCAACTAAAACATTTTATTTTATTGTGGATTTCAAAATATCTGGGAGAAAAAAGAGTTAGCTGTTAGGAGAAATCACAGTAGACATTTTGAATTTAAGCATTTATCTAAGTTACCATAATTTGTTTTCCACTGTCCCTCTAAGGAATATAAAACTCCCTTACAGAACAGATTAAGGGAGGAAGTAGAGGTTATGGATACCAAGATATTATAATGTCTTTCATTATACCACTTTTTTTTAGGATAAGCTATGCATGAGTGAAATTATCAGCTCATTCCCAAATGCTCTTTCTCTTTTATGAGGATGTGGGAGGTGTTTATTAAAAGCCACAATATGTTTCTCTCTCTACAGCTTACTTAAATTGCTTTTGTAGAGTGTCAAACACATTTGCAAAATTAAGAATCTCGATATATAAAAAATTTACTATGGTATTTCTTTTATGCCAAAAACTAAATCTTGGGCATTAAGCTTTAGTTCAAAAGGAATCTTTGTGTTTCTAGAAAAAAATATAGACTATATAATTGATATAATTCTTCAACTCTATTGACATGCAAAATGGGCCCACCCTTATATATTTTTATAATTTGTTTCCATGAGGGAGTCTTCAAGATTTTAAATTAAAGAAATTAACAAATTCATAAAGGAATTGGTCATTTTAGGTATTTTAAATATAAGATGTGGCCAAGCAATTCAGTGGCTCTAATTTGTCATGCTGCATTGAGAAAATGTCATGAGCAAAAGATAGCCATTGGCTTAAACAAGAACAACAACCAGAAGAGACATGTTCCTTCAGTCTGGTGTCGTGTGTGAGGGCTCAGAATGTTAGAACTGGAAAACAATAGACTTTATTTGGGTGTCTGATCACAGGGCCTTGAGTAGCTTGAGATTTAGTCTTCAATTCAGAGAATTCTTGCTAAGGACCTCATATATACCTGGTATTGTGTTATTCTCTGGAGATAAGGAAGTGAACATGACACCCAATCCATACCTTTAAAAATCCTAGAGTCAGAGAGAGGTGATTCAATAAATTCCTTCTCAGTGATAAATATTATGGGATGGGAAGGACAAAGAGATTGCGAACACTTACAAGATAATGCTAATGCAGACATGGTCAGCCAGGTTGGGCTTCCCAGAGTCTAAGTAGGGGACATTTAGGCTGACACTTAAAGGATAAGTAGAAGTTTTCCATACAACAGCCATAAAGGAGTGAGGTCAGAGGGGGTGTAGGAGGGCTTTTCTTATGGGTGGGGAACAATAGTAGATAAGGATGGGAAGGCCTGCAGAGGGAGGGCATTGTGGGTTTTGGGCAACAGATTAAGGAAAGCTGTCATTACCCAATAGCAATGGGAAGCAGTGAAGTATTTAAGCAGAAAAATGCCTTGACCACATTTGTGTTTTAGGAAGATTTGTCTGCAGGGTGGCAAATAGATTGAAGGGCAGAAGACAGGGTGACCAGTTAGGAGACTGAACTGAATTCCAGACTATAACAGCAGTGGGGATGAGGATCTTTGTTCCTGAGATAATTAAGAGAAGTATGCAAAGTGATCTATTAATTATAGGGAATGAAGCAATGGAAAGAGTGGGGATTACCCATAATCCCCACCCTCAGTTTTCTATCCTGAGCAGAAATATGAGAAATATGCAAAGGAAGAAAGGAAGGAACTCTTCTGTTGTTGGAATACTAATAATTTGAGAGAATATTTTTTCTACTTCATTTGAAGGATACCTTTCTACATGTAGAGATCTATGTGTCACTAGATGCTTTTCAATCTTCATTTGTGAGCAGAGTTTATAGGCAACAGGTACGTGAATATCTCTTTCATGCTGATTCATGAAACCTGAAACTCATTACTAAAAGTCATACAATCTCCCGCTGAATGAAAAAAAATTCTGTGCACATCTGCCTTTGTTCAGGTGGCTGTGTTCCTAGAAGGAGCTCGGGAACACCTGCTTACATTATGATCAATGAATGAAGTTTATTCCACTCCTAACTGTGAACTGAATATACAGCTGCTGGAAATGTCAGCAAAGTCACATAAAAAGAATTTGATTCACTATTCTACTCTTATACTATTAAATAATAGGGGCCCCTGTCGCATTGAATTGGCTGTAAAAGTGCCTTATGGCTGCCGATCCTGCAGGGAGGCACTTTAAAATGCCCTCTCTCTTCGCCCATTAAAATCAAGCAGGCAGCATAGATACATTCTAGATACCGGTGACTGAACCAATTGAAAGAAGCCACTGTTTTCAAACAGGCAGCTTAGTTTTTCTTGTTTGTCTGTTCTGCAATAATTTTTGAACTCTTCATTGATTATCATCAAATCTGGTGTAACTACTAAAAAAAAGTCAGACATCACTTATATGTCATTTGAAAGGAACAGTTTTATAAAATATAAAACAATATTTTATAATTGCCTTTTTTCAGTATAAGAGTGAATTACATTTTACAAAATCATCTACAAGTCACTGAGGGATGAGTTGGCTACAATAGCTATTGTTATTCAATTTGTGGTTTTTAAACTTAATCCCTTCCAACACAATTGGAAACAAACCAAATTATTACTAATAACTGTAAAAAACTGCCCCAAAACTTACCACTGTGGAGAAATGGTTCTACATAACAAAGACGTGTCCATAAAATTGTTATTTTTGTGTGCTTTTTTATTTTTTAAAGATTTATTTATTTATACAAGCACTGGGTACAGTCAGAAGCGCAGGAGGGTGAGAGAATTCACCAGAGCCAGAGCGGGGAGCAGAGCAGGCAGAAGGACCGAAGTACACTGCTGAGGGGAGCAGCGGGCAGCAGGAGAGGTCTGTGCGCCATGTGGGACCCTCCTCCGGTGTCTGGGAGCAGCCGGGGATCAAACCGGCGCTGCAGAGGCTGTGGGCAGCTTCGCAACCCAGTGCTCAACGCTGCGCCATGGGGGAGGCCCTCCATAAAATTATTAATGGCAGAGGAAGTGCCAAAAGTCCAATGATATTTCAGCTATTGGAAAATCTCTATGAGATCGGTACTTTCTTCTTATTATGGAATTACAGTTAAAATGTTAAAGAGGGAATTAGAGGGGAAGGGGCTGTATAGAGTAAAAAGGATGAAAATAAGAAGAGATTTTTAGTTATTTTAGCCCCAGATCTTTTGTGTTTCTTCTAGGTAGTTATATCAGAAAGACAGGAGTTTCTATTGAAGGTGTTTTTTCTTTATCGAGGTTATTTCATACCTTTTTTGATCTGAGGTTTTCTCTTCCCTAAAGTAGAGCATATGAACATATCTCTCGTGGGGTTGCTGTAAGCATTAAATGTATTATCAGTTGGGCCTCCCTAGTGGCACAAGGGGTTAAACACCACACTATGAAGCAATCTGCAGCCTCTGTAGCACAATTTTGATCCCCGACAGGCCAGGGAGCAACCACATGGCACAGCAGACCTCTCCTGACTCGTCGCTGCTCCCCTCAGCAGTGTGTTTCAGTCAGTCTGCCTATTGTGTTCCCCACTCTGTCTCTGGTGAATCCTCTCATCCTCCCATACATCTGGTTCTTGTATGCATAAATAAATAAATCTTTAAAAAAAAAAAAAAAGGAGGGAGGCAGAGATATATTTCCTAACCCAGAACCATGAGAATATGTCAAAACAGTCAAGCAAAGTAACTTACCGCTTAGTATTTCTGACAGCTGACGATCTCACTTCAGTAAGATTGTCTAAATCTTGGCTGGTCAAAGGAAAAAAAAATTCTTATTAGTGGTAGGTTTTTCTGGTTGTGCTAGGTTAATAAAATAACATGATCAATCCATTCCACCTGAGGGCAACAGATGAAAATATGAAATGATTGTTTTTATTTGATTACCTCTGATTGCTTCTGATGACTGCAGGATTCACTTTGATGAAGTAATCAAGATCCTGGTTTCTTTAAATAGAAAAATAGAGGACAGATTAATTATAAAGTTATTTTGGTAAAATCATTAAATTACAAGTCTGCTTAAAATAATAATAAAACAAAATAACCTTCTGGACCAAACCACACAAATTAACATAGTTATTTACCTTTGGTTATTGGTGAGAATTTCAGGATTCACTTTGATGAGTTTGTCAAGCTCTTGATTTCTTTAAGTGAAAAAAAAGTCAAAGAAGCTTCGGTTAGAGGTAATATGGGTTCAAGTTGGTAGTAAATAGAAAAGATTGGCTATCTTCTCATTTAGTAAGAGACACTGGTTTCACATAGAACAACCTTGAAATAAGTTTTCTCACCAACCCAGGAGAGGATGAATTATGCTAAATCAGAAAAAAACCCTCTGATTTCACACTTCATTGTCAGAGCCTATCTATGAGAAAATGCTGGCTAATGTGTTCACAGCAAATATCTGGTGAAAAATAACTTTTTGCTCTGGAATGTTTTAACATTATGAAGTTACAAGCTGATATTGATGTTCTAGTTATTAAAAAGCATATCATCAATGAAAGCTTTTATTAAAACAATAACTTCCAGCAGCAGCCCTTCTGCCCATCTGTGCCTAATGCAGAAGTTTCCTCCATGCATACTCTTGACTATGGAGGCCTACCTTTTAACAAACCTGCCCCTTTAGAAGCAGCTTTTCTGTTTGCTTGTGTCTCAACAAGCAACTTTTACTCTTCTCTCCCTTTTTTTATAATAAACCTTCCTTTTGGATTAATAATAATAATCACTTCTAATACTTGGATTATACTCAACATAAGACTTGGCAAAGAGGGCTTTCCCTGTGGCGCTGCGGGTTGAGCGCAGCGCTGTGAAGCTGTCTGCGGTCTCTACAGCATGGATTCGATTCCCAGCTGGCCAGGGAGATACCCACATGGTGCAGAAGACTGCTCCTGTCTTGCCTGCTGCTCCCCTTAGAAGTGTATTTCAGTCAATCTGCCTGTTCTGTTCCATACTCTGTCTCTGGTGACTCCTCTAACCCCCCACACCTCTGGCATGTACCCCAGTTCTTGTATGCATAAATAAATAAATCTTAAAAAAATTAAAATGCATTTTACTTGTCAAAAAGATGGATACAAGGATTAGGGACTAAAGGAAGCCACCTGGAAGTTAATCAAAAGAGTCTGAGAAAAGATTTTCATTTCCCTTCCTTGTCAGCCCTAAACCTTTGCATAGAATATACTGCCCAGCTCATGGTTTTATTTAGTTTCATTACTGTTCTCAGATCTCCATGATAAAAATCCCTGAATGAATTTTCACTGTTTGAATTATCCATAATAATAATAATAACAACAACAATAATATTTGCAACTAAGGATAACCAATTGATGTCCACAGACACTGTTAAAAGAATGATTAACATAAGAATTATCCAATAACTTCTTTGTATACTTTGATTGCAAAATTTGCTTTAAAGCTAAAGCAATCTAAAGTGAGGTCATTTTGGGCCTACCCAGTGAGTGGCTCAGCGGTTGAGCGCTGGGCTGCGAAGCTGCCCACAGCCACTGCAGCGCCGGTTGGAACCGGCCACCAGCAAGGGTCCCACACGGTGCGCAGACCTCTCCTGCCGTGCCCGCTGCTCCCCTCAGCAGTGAACTTTGGTACTTCTGCCTGTTCTGCTCCCTGCTTTGGCTCTGGTGAATTCTCTCACCCTCCCGTGCTTCTGACTGTACCCAGTGCTTATATAAATAAATAAATAAATAAATCTTAAAAAATAAAATGAAATAAAATGAGGTCATTTTCATACACTAGAAGAAAAAGTGCAAACAAAAAACTTTGTAGAAGAGATATGTTCAAAGACTTTATATGTAAAATCAACCACTTTTTTTTTTATGTAGCTACATATAATATTTAGATAGCAGTATAATTAAAAGTAAGCTGCATGGAAAAAAGCAAAAACAAACATGAGAACTATCATCGTCACCATTCTGCTGAGCACAAAAATTTGGATCCTCCAACAACCTAGATTACTGAGAGTCAAACTACTATTTCATAAAGCTCATTAAGAAATACATTTTACATCACATTCCAATTCTCACTCTTTTCAGACAGACAGAAAGACACACACAATAAAACACAGAAATTTCATGAGATAATACCTTTACTGCGTAAGAATGCTCATAGTTTTTTACTCTACTTAATTCATTCTATTTAATTGGGGAAAATGCTGATCAGCACTCACTAAATTACTTATACAACACTTTACTGGGTTTTGGCCCATGTTTGAAAAGAACTAGCTTAGAAAACATAAATGTATGTTATATTCTACTCCTAAAAAAGACAATACTGTGTGCTAATACAACAAGGATGTCAGGAATAACCCTGAATTGCCTTGACATCATCATGCAATTTATCCTAATGAATTAAAAACTACTAATTATATACTTTTTTTTTAGGCCCTGGTTCCCAACAAACACAAGGATCTCATACATAAACTTGACCCCGAAAAAAAAGGCAACATTTTTCCCACTCAAGTTACTGATTTCATTTATATTGCTTTATGGATATAATACGGTAGACTATATAGACATTATTACTTCCATGTGGTTTAAAAGCTCTAGCATCCTTTAACGTAATTTGTTCACTTATGGTATTGTCATCTCTGAAGTAATCTGTCAAGTGACCCTTTGAGAGCAGTGAAGTTCAGCTCCTGGGCATCACTTAGCTTTATAACCTCTGGTATTTCCTGAAGTGCTCAATTAACTTTTATTTATTATAATACCAAAATCTGCCTGCTGTGGTTTAAAGACCAGGAGTTAGGCTAGGAGTTAGAACAACTCATAGAAGACCCTTGCCTCAGTATTCTCATCTGTAAAATGAGGAGATTAGATTGGATTCTCTCTAAGACTCTACCCAGCTTTAACATCCTCTACTCTTAGGAAACTATGAATATGAATTTTACAGCCTGTCATGCTTATTAAATTAGCTATTCAATGTCTCTTTTTCTTTTTAAATTCAACTCACTGAAAATACATTCTATATTCAGCAAGCAGCACAAGTGTTCAAAATGTAATATATAAAATTGACAACCTATTATTGTCTTGGAGTATGCCCCCAGTACATAATTAGCTTTAATCTATGATAATTGCCTGCTGTTAATAAGATTGAGTATGTCTACTGAATTCTCTTTTTGGCGTCCACAGCCTGTAATTATATCTAATGTGCAACTAATGATACCTAGTTGTAAGTTTCCAACCCAGTAGGTGCTCAGTAATTATTCACTGCCTAATAGATCACAGAACTACTATCAGCCTTCCACTAGTTTTCCCTATGACCCTGGTCAAATTTTTTAATCTTTCTGAGTCTCAATTTCATCTTTTGTAAATTGAATAGATTCAACTCAAACAGTGGTTTTCCAAATGAGTTATTTAGATTCTTTCCATCTCAAAATTTTTGCAATTTGGTATGTAACAAATAAATCCATAAAGGAAAATCATGAACATATACTTAAGATAGCTATTTATCTTAAGCATTTATATGTATATATAAAAAACAATCATATATATACATATAATTATATATACTATATATTATATAGAAAATAGCAGTCTGTAATGGTATAAAAATCTTCATGTAAGCCAAGACAAGAAGTGAAAGACATCATCTCACAGATGTTACTTAAAGAGTTACAAAATTTTAGGTCCATAACTTTGTTGGGAGCAACAAACGATCTAAGAATCTATGAACTTCATAAAATCACACTAACTTTCAAAAAACACTTCCAAAAACAAGGTCAATGATATATTGGTGACAAGGATAGTGAAGTTTTAGGTGTTTGTTTTCTAACTATCATTAATCAATTCCAGCATAAAGGTAGAAAGATCAGTACTACAAAAATCAAGCGAAGTATTAACAGCATACAGACTAGCTGTGCTCCTTCCTGATTACACATCAGAAAATCAATTTGTTCTCATTTTCTTATGCCTCCTTTCAGCTGCTTTGCTCGAGGTTGAAACAAGTGAAGCCACTACCATTTATTTTTTTCAGTTTTCTCTTTCTTGCTATTAACAAATAGATTTGTTTGAACACATATAAAAATTGTAATGATTTTTCAAAACATTCAATTTGCACTAAGTGATTGTAAGTCATTTATATTCACATTGTGCTTAGTTAAGGAGAAACAAAACAAAACAAAAACATCCTTCTCTTACCCAGTCATCTTTTTTACAGCTTTGGGGCTTACACTGATAAGTTCATTGAGACCTTGTTCGCTGCTAAAACAAAATGAAATAAAAGGTCAGATTTTATTGGAAATCAGCAAATTTTGATTAAAATCTTTTCTTTTTACATTTGTGAATCATTCAATGAACTCCTTAGAGGAAAAAAAATGATACATTTACCCACAATCTACTTCATATACATTAGTAATCTTTTTTAAATCCCCAAAACAATCTAATGAGGTAGATAAAACCATCTCAGCCTTTATATACAGAAAGAAATTGAGCTTCAGAACAGTTAAGATTCTCCTTGGAGTCAGGTACCTAGATTATGACTCAAGGTGAACCAGGACTGGCGCGTCTGCAATGGGACCCTAAACTCAGTACTGCTTCTTGCTAATCCCCTTCGTCTGTTTATGTTCACATCTGTTTGCTGTTTTTTTCATTCTTAATTTTTATTTTTTAAAGATTCATTTATTTATTTATACAAGTACTGGGTGCAGTCAGAAGCGTGGGAGGGTGAGAGAATTCACCAGAGCCAGAGTGGGGAGCAGAACAGGCAGACCGACAAAATACACTGCTGAGGGGAGCAGCAGGCGTGGCAGGAGAGTCTGCACGCCATGTGGGACCCTCACCCGGTGCCCGGGGATCCAACCGGCACTGCAGAGGCTGCGGGCAGCTTCGCAGCCCAGCGCTCAACTGCTGCGCCACCATGGGAGGCCCTGTGCACATCTGTTTTGCCAACATTCTCTTCCTAATAATACTGAGATGCAGCTTGGGGTTACTCCGAATGTTTTTCTTAACTTCTGTTCTAGTGTGTATTGGGTCTAAAATAAGACAGAAATTCAATGTCATGTGAAAATATATTTTTTTAAAGATTTATTTATTTATGCATACAAGACCTGGGGTACAGGCCAGAGATGTGGGTGGGGTAGAAGTGAGAGGATTCACCAGAGACAGAGCAGGGAACAGAACAGGCAGAGTGACTGAAAACACTGCTGAGGGGAGCAGTGGGTGAGACAGGAGAGGTCTGCCTAGCCATGTGGTTTCTCCCTGGCTGGCCAGGGATGGAACTTGTGCTGCAGAGGCTGCAGATTCCTTCATATTGATGTGCTTAAACCCTGCGCTACCAGGGAGGCCTCATCTGAAAATATTCTAATCAAGTATAAGGATAGTATGTTACCAATTTTCTCAGGATTGATATAAAAATTAATCCTTAGCGGGCCTCCCTGGTGGCATAGCGGTTGAACGCTGGACTGCGAAGCTGCCTGCAGCCCCTGCGGTGCCAGTTCCATCCCCAGCTGCCAGCGAGGGTCCCACATGGCGCGCAGACCTCTTCTGCCCAGCCAGCTGCTCCCCTCAGCAGTGTATTTCGTTGGTCTGCCTGCTCTGCTCCCCACTCTGGCTCTGGTGAATTGTCTCACCCTCCCGCGCTTCTGACTGTACCAAGTTCTTGTATAAATAAAGAAATAAATCTTTAAAAAATAAAAAAATTAACCCTTAGATTTGTGAAAGAGTAGAAAGCCAATAGATCTTGGTTTATTAAAATTTATAAATGTATATTTTACTAACTATAAATTTATAGTAATAATCTAGTTATGGTATATGTCATAATGAATTTCTTAAGTTGTACATCTACCAAATTAACTTCAATACTATAATTCTAAACTATTATAATGAATAAATAGAAGCAGTCAATCTATCCAGAATTGTTACACATCAGAAAATCAATTTGTTCTCATTTTCTTATGTCCCCTTGCAAAATACTCTTAGCCAAATAGTTAATCCCGAGCAAAAAGTAGCTCAAGATTCTTCTATAATCCCAATAAACTCACCGTTTTTTGGCTGAGGGGACTTCTTTGATGAGATTTTCCAGGTCTTGTTTCCTAAAAAATATTATAAATTTTAATAGCTAGTATAATCAACTAAAATAAAAAATAATGAGTACATTTTCTCAATTTTAATATTGAATCAAATAAGTGTTTTTAATTTAAAACTTCATTATTAAATCCATTCTCTTTTTAAGCCTAAGACAATTTCAAATTTAAATTTTTCTTAATCTCTTTATTTTGCATATTATATTTTTGTAATAGAATTAGCATTCAAAATCTTTTGAAATGTGCAAGAGAAAAATATTAAATTATTCATAATTTTTACATCTGTTCCTTGCTTCCCTCCTCTTTCTTCTCTCCCCTACAAAACAGACAAACAAACAACAAAGCTTCCAAACAAACAAACACTAACTCTGGGACTTAAAAAAAAAAGTTATTTCCTTATGTTAAGGTATATACATAATACAAATATGTGATATTGAAACCCCTCCGATACAGTTATCAAATCACTTCAGAATCACATGTCATGCAATGCTAAATCAGAACATGCAAGACTTCAGATTATAAAACCTATGATTTTATTCTAAACATTCGCATAAGCAAGCATATCGCAAAAGAGACTGTTTTGGCCCCCAAAAGCTGAAATATTTGCTACCTAACTAACCCTTTAGAAAAAATTGAAGTCACTGATCTAGTCTAACAAACTTTGTTTAATGGCTAAATACTACAAAACTTGACAGCATTTCTAAATGCAAAGTATGATTGCAAAATTGTTAAAAAGAAGATAAAGGGGCCTCCCCTGGTGGCGCAGTGGTTGAGTGCTGGGCTGCGAATCTGCCCGCAGCCTCTGCAGCACCAGTTCCATCCCTGGCCACCCGCCAGGGTCCCACATGGTGAGCAGACCTCTCCTACTGCCCGCTGCTCCCCTCAGCAGTGTATTTCGTCAGTCTGCCTGTCCTGCTCCCTGCTCTGGCTCTGGTGAATTCTCTCACCCTCCCTCACTTCTGATTGTACCCAGTGCTTATATAAATAAATAAATAAATAAATAAATAAATAAATAAATAAAAGAAGATAAAAATTTTGCTATCTTTTATAGCAAACTGATGTTCAAACTAGCACAACACTAAATGTTGTGTTAAAGGTTCTTTGGCTAAATGTCTTTTTTGGTAAATTAACATGATATGCCTATAAGAAAATTCTATCTCTATAAGAGACCAATATTATTCTTTGTATTCTTTATTATTTCAATGAACTGAGTATAATTTCTTTAAAATTACCTTCCAATTTTAGGAACTGATTTGGTGGTAGACAGCAAGAGAAGGAATAAAAGATGGGGGAAAAGGAAGGGAAACATTTCTTCATATAAAAACTTTTAGACTGCTAAATTCTAGAAAACTGTTTTGGGGTAATGCTTTATCTCATAGGAGACCTGGTTCATTTTAGGAAAATTCTAAACATGCAACACAAGTACCATACTGATAAGATATTAAGAGTCATTCCTGTATATTAAGGAATTCTCTCTCTCCACTAAGGCACATGGTTAGGGATCCCTAAGCCAGGCCCTGAAAAGCAGGTTCCAACACAGCTGATTTGGGATCCCACTACTGGCCTTCTGTATAGTGGGACAGTGCATTTTATTGCATTTTCTAAGTTGAAAAAGAAAGAAAGAGGAGCGATGGAAGAGCTCCATAAACTTCACCCGTGGTTAATTCTGCTTGTGCTGGGAGCCACTTTCATGAGGTTGTCAAGACTTTGGTCACTTTAAAACATGGAAGAAAGGACCATATTTGTTAAAACAGAGATAACCTCAAAGGGTTGGCATGTCTCTGTGTTGACTATAAATACACATATATGAACCTCATTATAACTGTGTACAAATAATAACTGATGATTTCAGAAAAGTCATTATGTGCCAGACACATTTCTCAGTGACTTATATGATTTAATTCTCACATTAATCTTTTGATACAGGAAGTATTTTCACCACATTTCCACAGAGACAAAAGCTTAAACTGAGGAAGAATAAGTAATTTCTCACATAGCTAGTCAGTAGGACTAGAATTTAAAGCTAAAAATCTAACTCTCAAGAATGTATGTACTTTCCATGACACTGACTATCTTATTGGCACTTTGTAATTGAATTAATGGAAGTGACTAGGAGTATCTGGTTCAGTCTCCTTGCTTTGAGCATGCAAAAACCCAAGCCCAAACAGGGGAAGTGACCAGTCCATTCTGGATTTAGTGAAGTCACAGTCAGTCCTAGAGTCATATCTCTTTGATCTCATCTTGTTCTCATACCCCCACCCTGAACCATCCCTCTGCTCAAGAAAAATACTACAGTCAAGAAATAAAAGTCTTCTGTCCATCCTGGGAACACAACTGTGGCCCTAACTAGTCAAAGCCACCTCCATTGCATTAGAAGTCAGTGGACCAAAATCTTTAACATTTAGATTTGAGTAGTGGCAGTTGTATGACTTTTCTTAAATTATCATTGAGTTACTGTCAGTCTGCACAAATAGTAATTTAATTAGGTTTTGGCACATTGGTTAGTGTGAAACAAAGAAGAGTGTATTAATCTTACCCTTGCATACTCTTTCCTGGTCTTGGATTCATTTTGATGAGGTTATCAAGGTCTTTGGAACTTTAAACAATAGAGAAATAAAAACATATAAGTAATATATGGAACTAAATCAACAAATTATTTAAGTGAAAAGATATATGTGAGTAAGATGAATTTTTTTTTGAGAGAAAGCATTCCAGCCCATGCCCTTAATTTAAGACAGTAAAACTTTTTACCTCCATAAAAATCATTAATTGACTCAATTTTCCACATACCCTCAAAATAAAACCATAAAATTAGGGCAAGATTAAGGTTTTAAAAATCAAGTGACAAAGGTAAGGTATACCAGACACTGGATCCTTATAATTAAAAAAACATTCAGCTCAGGGTTGAAGGGACTTGTTCAAATGCACCCGAATGGAAAGTTGTGAGTACAGATTTTCTGGTTTCAGTCCCAAGGCTTTTTCAATGCAGTTTCTCAGATGAAAGTTACAAAATGATGCAAATGGGGAAGGAAGACAGATAAGACATAATCCTCACCCTGAGTCATTTCTGCTTACTTCAGGGGTCACTTTGATGAGATTTTCAAGGCTCTTACCCCTTTAAAACATAGAAGAAAGGATGAGATTCATGATAGATTAGCACCAAGTGGATAAAACTATTCATTAAGTCTCAAAAACAGTATAAACATTACCAAGATTATGCAAAGAAGTGAGGATTGTTAAAGGTCACTACGCAGACGCTTGTAGTGATTTATATATCTCTAAAATTTATTGAGACTCAAAGACAACAATCTTGGAGCAGTTGGCCACCAGTTAATACCACACAAGGACTCCATGGCCGTTTCAACTCATTTAATGCTGTGCTCTTAGCCTTTGCCAATGCACTAAATATTTTGTAAGTCTATATACACTTCTCATGGAACATTCCAGAAGGCACATCCTTTTCATATCAAACTCTAACCTTCTGTGGGACCTAAAATCAACTTTGGAGAATTCCCCTTTTGTCAAATGAGCACTGTTAGCACGCTTTCTATTCACAACACAGGATTAAGATAAATAGACCAATTTTTAAAAGTCCCTAATTTACAACCTGGTATCTGCCTCTGCTACTTATAACTGTATATTAAAACTACAAATTTTAACTAGATGTGTTAGCAGCAAAGAGTAAATAGATTAAAATCTACAGAGTACAGAAATATAAGATACACTTACTGTAATACAAAACTCTTCATAGTCTGAAAACCTGCCAGATTTTTTTTTTGTTGCCCTTCAGCATATTCTTCTTATGATTTGAATGGTATTTTGCTTTTCTTATGCATCTATACGTGATTTTTGCATACACAGCACCAGTCAGTGCTTCTCTGATCTACAGAGGATGCCAGATGGGTAAAGAATATACTAGGAAGTAGGTACTATACTCCATTTCTCCCAGCACTGTGGCTCTACTAAGACAGTGTCATGAAGTCTATGAAGTTGTGTCTACACACATCTAAGATACAGATTTTTAGATGCAATCAGATGTTGACTCAAGTTTTTACTTATATTTAGATGTCTGAGTATATATACATCCAAGCTAAAATCAACAACAAAAATTTGGAACTTTTTTCATGAAAATAATGAAACAATTAGAAACAGCTATTCTACCCCAGAATATTTCTCACTGATTTTTGTAATCCCTTGTTGATTGTTGTCTAAACAAAGTAGTCAAGTATTTGAGATGTGAATGCCCATGACTGAGGGGAAAATAATCCTAGATTTCTATAATATTTCCAGATTTGAGGACTCAAAAATTAACACAAAAGTAAATATTGCTTCTCCTGGCTTGTAATATGTACACACATATACCAATCTATGAAAAATAATAGGTGATGATTTGAAATAATAGCTTCAATAAAAATTAGAAAGAAAATCTTGATTTCCCCCCAAAAGTCAATATAAATTAAATATTTGAACAGTATCTAAATCATTAAGAAAACATAATTTAGCTGAGTATTATTACTAAAATAACTGTATCTACTATGGGCCAGTCAAGATAATATTATGACCCCTCTCTTACAGGGACACAGCTAGCCAGTGACAGAGTCAGAATTTGAAGTAAGGTCTTTCAGATTCCCTACTCACGTTCACTATTTCAGGTTACTCCCTGACACACCCAACCCAAGGAAATCAATCCTTCCTTCTCAGTCTGTTGGTTGCAAAATTGAGTCTGTAATTCAATGGATCGCTGCACCTCTGACCATGACTTGGAGTTAAAAACAGGACAGTCTGACAGTAAGCACAGCTTTCAGCTAGTCTAGCCCTTGCTCTGCTGACTGGGCCCGCAGGCATCAGTGACATATTTAGAATCAGCTAATAATATCATGTACCAAGTTAACCGAATCGAAAGGAGTTCAAAGAAAACCACATGGAATTATTTGGTACACTCTCTTCAGCAACATGCCAACAAGCTCAGTTTCAAATATATTCCATCTGCATTTTAAAAAATAAAAAGCAAGAAGACATAAGCTCTCCAGATTTAATTGACAGTTCATGGGTAGGACTACTCTTTCAACAAAGTATACTTTGCTGAGCATTCCATTCAATATATATCATATACATGCAATACAAATACACTACACATGGCCACACACACTTAATAATACCTACATGTACTATTTACACATCCACTTTTACCCTACTGAAACATAACACACATATACACATTGTGATGGTTAGCCTTGTGTGTCACTTGTCTGGGGCATGAGGTGCCCAGATATTTTATCAAACATTCTCCTCCCTAACATGGGTGGGCCCATCCAATCAGAAGAAGGCCTGAACAGAACAAAAAGGTTGAATTAAGAGGGGATTTTACCACTTGACAGCTTGACCTGAAACATCAATCACTTGCACTTTAATTTACACCACACATATGTACGTACACACATACAAAGAAATAAATCATTAAGCTCAATAGAGATAAGCCAATTCTCATTTAATTTCTCAAAATCTGCCTGGTACTAAACTTCACCCACAGTAAAATGCAAACGATCACTTCTGTATATTTTTTTGTATGGAATTACTTAAAACAATGTGTTTAGGGAAAAGAGCACTCAGTTTTGGTTTGAATTTTAATTTACTCTCCTGAATAAAAGTACTTAGAATTTCAATGAACTTATAAATGTCAAAGGAAAAAACAAACATTAAATGTCTTACCTCTTGATATTTTTGTTTATTTCAGGATTCACTTTAATATGTCCATTGAGGTCTTGTTTTCTTTGAATAAGGAAATGCATTTTAATGAATATTGTTAAAATAAAATATTATTGGAAAAGTTAAGAAGCAGTAAATACACAAGGTCTCTATCAACATAACTTTTAAAGCTTTAAATGCAATATATATTCTCTTACATCTTGATTCAAAGACCATTTAAATGGTGTCCTTGTTTGTTAAAAAGAAACACAATCTATTGTTTTATTCTCAAAATGCAGGAGATTATATAAAACTTGTTATTTAACAAAATCAGTTTTGCCCTCTGATAGTGTTAGAATCTTGTTAGAATATTCCAAATGGATGGCATAGAAGTAATAAAGTTCTATGTGAATCTACACAAAATACAAATTTTTGCTCAACAAGTCAGATATAACTACCTACTCTGTTTTTAAATAATAGTGGTATTAATAATAACAACTTAAAAGATATTATAAATAATAAGTAGAATATATACCCCCATATTAATTATTTCCACAACTCAAGTCTTTTAAAATATTAGATTATTATGAATTATAAACATTAAGAAAAAATAACTTGCATGGCAAGAACGTTAATAATTTACTTCTCAGAGGGCTACATACTCCACCCACTGAAATACATTGAGCAATACCAAAGGGAGCATAACCAGAACCCGAAGGGGGAAGTCGAGAATGGCAGAAGCGTTGTGATTAGGTGCTGCTGCCGTGTTAACACAGCGCTGATAAGAAGAAATACTGGAGGTGTCCTAACTCACAACATGTGTACCTGTACCTCCCCTGGGCTGACCTCTAAAATGACTGTCCTTCCAGAACTTGATTTACGAGAGTTTTGGTCAAGCCTCATTTGGTTCTCTTTCTCATTTTGAAGATTCATTTTGAAAAGGTTGGTATGAGTGTGTTTTCTTTAGACACAAATTCAGTTTAAGCACTCATCCCTAAAAATAAAGGCAGAAATCTAGAAGAGGCAGCTTATTGTTAACTACTAGAAAAATTTTTCCCAAAAAAGTGATTTTATTGGAACAAGGAAGGAAGATTGTGTGGCCCACCATCATAGTCTAATGCCATGCTAATAAAAGACGGTTATGAAATTAAAATGCCAAATGATTTACTATATTGATTGTCACAGAAGTCAGATTTAAAGACATAAAGACACTAATGAGTATTACTCTGTGGTATTGTCACATCTTTTGTGGTTCACTAGATAACATTATTAAGGTCTTTATCTCTTTTAAAAGAAACTTTGATCAGTTTCAAAGTAATACCATATTATTATATATAATATATAATTATAATTTTAATTTTATTAATTCAAGTTTTTGAAGAAAATTAATATATTGGTGTTAGATTTATTTTTATTATAAAAATTGCCGATAATAATATAGTTAAATTAATCTCCACAATTTCACTGACCTTTATGCAAATGTAAATTTAGAGAGACTACATTGTAGTCTTCAAAATGAAGATCAGAGGAGTAAGGTTTAGACACAGAAAAGAAAAGACAAAGCTATGACCCATCAATGTCACTGAGAAGATCACACAATTAATCTGGGAGCAAACAACCAAGATTCAGAAACTTCAAAGCATTTCTCAATCCTCTTCTATTTTTATCTGCCCTGGTGTTAGTTTTGATAACCATTTCCTCGAATCTTGACTTCATTGGAAAAAACATCAAAACCTTGTTTAAATTAGGTTACATACAATATTCTGTCAAATGTGTATAAACAAGAATGCCCACCCACTCCCCCCCCCCAAAATAAAACCCAACAATACTAGAATGTTCCTGAATGGGTGTCAGATATTTCCAGGGCCCAATGAACATAAAAGCTTTTGATGTCATTATCCTAAGCTTATCTATTCATTTCCACAGTAATAAACTAGTTAAAATCAGTATGGAAAAGCTGCTTCTCACTTTGTGACATTTCCTTTATATTTCTGAAATAAATATAAATTAGAATTCTTTAAAAATGATTAGGAAATTGTAGCATAAGATATTATGTAACAGGTTTTCCTACGTTCACTTTAAGGCGAGTTAAACTTGGGAACAACGTCTATTATATTCCTTTGTTGTGATCTCTGATAAATTTATAATTGCAACAGTTAATCTGTGATAAAGAAAGGCATACCATTCCAATTTCTAAGGGGTTTAAAGAGCTAACCTGAAAAATGCCTATTATTGTAAATGCTTTCCTTACCCTTTCTCATCCTTGTCAGTCCTTTGGTTAACTTTAATAAGATTTCCAAGGTCTTGGTTTCTTTGTAACATTGGGGTATAGGGAGGGGCAGAGAGACAGAGAAAGAGAGAGAGAGAGAGAGAAAGAGAGAGAGAGAGAGAGAAAATAATTCAATATTTTTTATGACAATAGCAAATTCCTCCAATCGGAATAAGATGTTAAGCAGTACCTAGAGTATTAGAATTCCTTAGAAATATTTAATTCAACTCATGCTATTGCAAAAATGCTGAAGAGATATGCTAGTGATACAGCCTAAGAGTAAGGTACTAATCATCACACACTTGTTACTGAATCAATTTAAAAGTAAAAGTTCTCTCTAGATTTAAGTTTTTGCTTTCATTGTCTTTTGAGGATGGATTGATAGAAAGATGAGTTTAACACATTTGTTGAGATACTGTCTACTTTAAGCATAAAATCTTTCAAGTCAGAGATGGAAATCAGATGATCAACATTTTAAATCTAAACACTTCAAAGATTTAGAGAAGCCATTTTTAATAAAAAGCTCAAGGTCATGAAGATACCTTGGAAAAGGAGAAATTACACTGAGGACTCTAGTATATAACATAAATTGATGGCAACCAATAAGTTTTTCACATGCCAATAAATTTAAACATATGCAAACCAATGCCTCTGTAGTCCAGATTCCAAATCATTTTGCTTTTCTCCTCTTTTCTAGCCTACAAAATGATTTGGTTGTGATATTCATCCTACTTCTCCTATTTTCTACCATATTTTGAGAATCATCCAAACTTCATTTCTTAAATATTTGGAATCTCATTATTGAAGTATTTGAATTCTTTAGAACTCATAAAACCAGAGTATTGACAGCGCTTTTCCACTTCAACTGTACCTCATTTGAAAAAAAAAATTCACCTGCAAAAATACTTGCACATTTACATTACATCAAGCAATATATATTTTTAGCAAGTATGCAGTATCTGTGGGACCATTACTGCCAACACTTTTCATTACATAGAGATGGTTAAGTGTTCTACAGCAGAGAGGGATGAAGATGCACCTGCTGAAGCTGACTTTGAAAAGGCTAGAATATCACTCTATGCACAGATTGGCACCCATAAATGGATTATAAAGATAACCAAGACAATAGAATAATTCTCATGTCACAAAGGCAAATTTAATGATTAACCAAAGACAAGTTAAAGAGTCAATTTGCAGAAAAAGTACTACAGGCCTTATAATTGCTTACCCTTTGTCATTCTTGATTGTTCTGGGATTTTCTCTAATGAAACTGCTGAGAGTTTGATTTCTTTCCACATGAAAAATAATATCAGTAATGTAAGTGAATTTTATAGTACATCAGTGTCAGTCTAGCACTATGAATTGACCTCTTAAATTCTATCAGTTCAGGTACTGATCATTCATTAATCCTTTCCAAAATAAATAAAAGCATGGCTCTAGGTCTGAGATATTTACAAATATATTTGATATATACTTATAAAGCAACTTCACCAAGAGTCCAACTGAAAACTGCCTGAGTATACTGTAAAGATTTTGGTGGTGAAGAGTTATGTTCCCAACACCAAATGTCTTATGATAGACACAACTGATTCCTAAACCAGCCTACATCCATTACTTGTAATATTATATTTCTTTCACTTTTAGATAAAAGTGAAAAGTCATATTTCTTTCACTTTTAGATTAAAAAAAGTAACCATGGAGATTATCTAGGTCATGCCCTTCATTTTATGAGATCTAGAAACAGGTCTTCAGAGGTCAGGTGACTTGCCCAGGGTCACCAAGATGATACAATGGGAACAGCCAGCACTAAAACATCTACCCATCTCCTGACCCTGACTGGGGACCTGAACCCCCAGCATGCCTGACCCTTGTGCTGAGCAGGAGGTCTCCCACAGGAAATGGGATGGAACACATTACAGAAATAGTCTAGGATATGATCAAAGAGGCCTGTGGGAGTCTTAACCAAATCTTACCCTTTTCCATCTTTGTCCATCCGGTAATTCAACAAGATGAGATTCTCAAGGCTTTTGGCTCTGTAAAACACAAAGAAATTCAAGTAGAAGACTACATATTGAAATAAAATTATATGGTATCTTGAAAGGTCAGATACAATAAACATTCTTCATGAATTGCTCATTTATTCATATTGAATGGAAGAGCAGAAATCCTTCTGGGCAATTATGTCTGAATTAAATGGATAATAGTGAGAGAGCTACCCCATCTGCTAGTATATTTTTATGCCAGAGGATACAACTTCCTTCCAGCTACTGTCTGAAAGAATAAAACCAGCAATCTGGGAAATCATATTTTCAAGTTAGAGACAGATGCACTTACCTTTTCTCTGTTTGCTCTGTCTTAGGATTTGCTCTGAAGAGACCATCAAGACCTTGATTTCTTGAAATACATTACATTGATAGAAAATATCATCAGTTAACAGATAGTTAACTCTATGGAAACATAGGCTACTTGACATCTAAAACAGGAAATAGAATTTATTCCAAACAAGTATTTTCATAGACTCAAAATTTAAATTGTGGTGGAACTTACCATATTGCATGTATAGCTACAAAGATAATAGATCTTAAAAGTTCTTATTACAAGAAAAAAATTGGTAACTCTATATGGCAATGGATGTCCTGGTGTTGAACATTTCACATATAATATAAATATCAAATCATTATGTTGTACAGCTAATATAATGTTATATGTCAATTATACCTCAATAAAAACAAATAAATAGCAATACCTTAGTGAAACATACAAACTGGGATCCACAAGCCATATGGGTCCACAAATGAGGTGTTTTAGATTCAAGGAGTGTTTTTTTTTTTTTCATGTGGGCCAATGTTTGCAAAGATTGCCATGACACTGAGAAACCTGGATTTCTGCCCAAAATATCCTGAAACACTGAGCTCAGATTCTCACGTGGCAATATTCAGCTGGATTTGAGAAACAGCTGGTCACTTTAGAAAGGGCATTCTCCCTGCTATGTTTCATACAGTCAGCCCTTTCATTTATTACATCTGGCTGGCCTCAGCAGGCCATGTTGTCTGTGACTCTGGATCTAATACCTCCTCTCTTAATAAGTGAGGAAACTGAAGAACAGGAAATATCAGTGAGTTGTTGATAGTCAATCATATATCAACAGATCATTATTGATAGGAAAGGGCATGAAAACCATATATCATGATCCTCAGATCAATTAACTCATTTGCCATTTCCTTGATTCTCCTCCGCTTTGGTGCCTGCCCATTGAGTATCTCAGCGTGCAAAGAAGCAGGGAGGCAGCTAAAATGGCACACGCCTCCAACACAAACTTCAAGTAATACAATTTTTAAATTATGTAATTATGAGTGATTCAAAATAAAGTCATAATGTTAACTAAGACAAAAGTGGGTTTTGTATTAATTAAACTAAAAGTATTCAGTGACCAAATCAAACTCAGTTTATATACTAGTGCCCTAGTATTTCAGCAAAAGAAATGTGGTCACTTATGTTACTGCCTGAATAAATAAGTGGAGAATGAAAATCAAAGACACTTTAATATTAGCATATTTAGACCTTAACAATCATTGATAATAATGATGAAATGATGATGATTTCTGTAAGCTTTTAACTCAAGATTTGGAGGAAACTTTTGACTTCACCACTCTGTGGGTCCTCATGTTCACGGACTGATAAAACTTAGAAATCACAATACAAAATTCAGTAACAAACAAATAGACATTAAAAAATCTTACCTACTCAAGCTTTTATTCATCATTATTATATTATCCAATTCTTCACTTTTGGAAGGAAAAAAAAATCTCACATCAGTAAAAGTTTAGCCAGAGTCAGACAGCTATTATTTCCCAATTCTCTGAAATAGATACTCCACCTTTATCATCGTCATCTTAAAATCCCGTTTATACTTCAAGACTCTCCTCACGCACCTTGTTCCCTAAGAAATCTTTCCCAATCCTTGAACTGAGTAGGGTCCCCTGAATTTTTGGAACCCTTGCAGCATTTTTTTTTTCCTCTCCTCTGAGGCATTACCACATGTCTCATGTTGATGCCCCTCTCTCCCAAAAGTACTCACAATCTAGAACTTTATTTTGTACTGAATCCTCCTTAGTCTTTAATTTAGTGTGTTTCATCCAGTCAATGATTAATACAGGTTTTTAACTGGATCGCTATCTTTGCATAATGTATTTGCACAAGGTAGTTTTTGGAACATTTGTTCATCAGAATGTCTGATTTTTTTTCTTGAGTTCCAGGCCTACCTCATTCCAGTTCAGCTGAATTTGTTATCTTGTTTCCATATTTGAGGACTGTAACTTTCTGACTATTTCCTCAGGAATGACCTGTTGAAGCTAAAGCTAAACTTCTAAAATATTCCTTAGAACCACATGAGCTCGGCTCTCTCACCCAAGAAGGCAGGCTCCCACATGGTTCTTGTTTCTGTTTGCTCCTCACAGCATGTTTTTTCTTCAACTTTTCTGTCCTCCTCCTTTGTCTTCATTTCTCTTACCTTCTTCATCCTGTTCTTTAGTTTACAAATTTTATTCCTCCTTTCTTCCTGCTCTAGAATCACACACAACCCACACTTTCTCAATGTTCCTCCTTCTTCTTGAGTCATGACTGGAATTGACCGGGGCACTATGAGGCCCAGAAACTCAGCAGTTACACATTCAGGTTCCCAAGTCAGGGATAATTGGATACCAATCCTAGATACACCACTTATGGTGGAAGATCCTCAGTGAGTTTACCTAACCTTTGCTGCCTCAATTCTTCTATCTGTAAAATAAGAATACTAATTATACCTACCTCAGAAAAGAATAAGCTAATAAATATGAAGTGTTCATCCTAATATCTAGCAAGCCATAAACTCTCAATTAAATTTAGTCATTGTAATAAACAGTTTTCCATCAGTATTAATTTTTTTCATTTAATCAACACTTACTATAGTTAACATATGAAATTGCATTTGGAGAGACCAAGATTTTGGCTCAGCCTTAAAGAGGTGTAGTCCCTGAGTCACTGTGTGCTTTGAAGACAATCTGGCATAAAGTAGCACCAGAATTGCTGCTGGGACTCTGACAGTCTCCTCTCAGAGACTCTGCAAACATTAGCAGTCATCATATAAATGAATCCTTTGGAGTAATCTTACATTGCATGGGGAGGATTGAAAGCTAATAGCAAATACAAAACACAAAAATTGACATACAAAAGCTGCTGACCCTGACAAAAATTAATTTTCTATCTTTGTGTGGGACGTCCACTATCTGGTCTTCAGACACAATGCTCCATTGTTGTCTCTTGCTTGAAATTCTACCTTCTGACTCTGAGGCTGAGTATCCTCAAGGGAAAAAGCAAACCTAAGAATCCTGTAAATCGCAGCCCAGACCTTTGTGACTGGCGTGAGTCACAGTGAGGAGATTACGGATTTGGGTTTGCTGCTGTTTATCACAAGAAAATTAGCATAAATCAGGAGAAGACACTCTGTGGGAAATAAAATAAAATGGAGATTGTATTCTGAATAAAGGAGTGAGCTTTTAAAATGACTTTAAATTGCTGAAAGCTTTGGATATTAAATGTCACCATTGCATTTGTGATAAACTAAATGCTCTTAGTCAGATAGGAATGAGGGTCCCTTTCCCAAAGGAGTATAACAAAGAGAAGCTGGGATAAATCAAGCTACTTCTAGTCTCATTGGATGGCCCACAGTAATGATACTCAGCTATGTCAATGTAACAGACATTTCCCCTGATCCCTGTCAAAGTAGTAGCTTCTCGGGCCTCCCCTGGTGGCACAGGCGGTTGAGTGCAGTGCTGTGAAGCAGTCCACAGCCTCTACAGCGCCGGTTCGATCCCAGCCAGCCGGCGAGGGTCCCACATGGTGCGGCAGACTTCTCCTGTCTCGCCCGCTGCTCCCCTCAGCAGCGTACTTTGTCAGTCTGCCTGTTCTGTTCTCCACTCTGTCTCTGGTGAATCCTCTCACCCTCCCGCGTATCTGGCCTGTACCCTGGTTCTTGTATAAATAAATAAACAAACAAACAAATAAATAAATAAATCTTAAAAAAAAAAGTAGTAGCTTCTCTCTGTGAAGAATATCTTTGGCACTGGAACTTGTCTGTTGTGGTTAGGGAGAGGGGACAGGAAAATTTAACTCAAATTTTCATTATTTTTCCTTGACTCATCTCAAACCATAATTTCCCTTCAATATCACTCACCTATCTCTCCCACAAACATCCTGATCACCTACCAAAAACTGTCCAGTCCCTAAAAGAATGAAATGGACTGTGGTGGATGACTACAGGTGCCTTGGTGAGGGGTGTGACCTGGTGACAGACATCTGAAGAGATGTGAGCCTACACCCCTAAAACATGTACAGTTAGGTAAACTGTTATGTTGTTAAAAAATAATGCAAGTATACAGGGCCTCCCTGGTGGGGCAGGTAGTTGAGCGCAGCACTGTGAAGCTGTCCGCAGCCTCTGCAGGCGTGTTCAAGCTGAGCTGGCCAGGGAAATACCCACATGGCATGGCAGACCTCTCCTATCTCACCCGCTGCTCCCCTCAGCAGTGTATTTCATCAGTCTGCCTGTTCTGTTCCCCATTCTGTCTCTGGTGAATCCTCTCACCCTCCTGTACATTTGGCCTGTATCCCAGTTCTTGTATAAATAAATAAATCTTTTTAAAAAATGCAAGTATAAATAATGAAATATTACCTTAAACAAAAATGTATAAATAAAATTAGAGACCCAAGCACTTAAGATGAGAAAAGAAATGAAACATTCAAGATACTTTCTCCAGCCCCTGTCTGGATTCAGAGCTCCTACTGTGTTTATGAGTCTGCATAGAATAGCTAACTGTTACTTCTGGTTTTTCTCTTCAGTTCTTTTGATTGTGATTGTGATCCCTAGTATCACTCTTAGCGCTGCTTAATTCCGTAAGCAAGGAAAATTTTTGTGGGTTTGAGATTTAAATTATGGAATATTTTTACTCAAGTTTTTCTCACTGCTTATTTAACATAATCTATTGCATAAACATCTATTTTGCACAAAGCATCATGTCAAATTCTGCAAATGGCATATTGTAAATAAGGAAAAAATCTGCTCTGAGAGATTAAAGAGATGATAGAGAGGATGAAATAATTGCATCAATAGTAGGAAGCAATAACAAATATGATTAGTGATTATAAAACATGAATAGTGAGGACTCTAATAGCTTAGAGAGGCAGAAGTCACATTTCAATAGATCACTCAGGGAATCCCACAAAGTAGGTGATACTTGATCTGTATCTTCCTAAAAGGTTAGGACTTGGAAGGATGATATGGTTGCCTTGAGGCTGGAACAGACAGTCAGTGGGGAGAATGACATGAACAAAGAAAGTATCTGAAAATTATAGAAAAAAAGTGATTTAATTTGGCATTGAATGGAGTAGAATAATGGTGAAGTGAGAAATAACTCTGGAGCATTAGGTTGGAGCCAGGCTAGCAAGGACCTTAAATGAGGTTATATGTAATTGAATGGGTACCGAAGAGTGAGTGGGTAATTGTTCAAACAGAATCTTAGGGGGAAACTGACAATAATGGGTAGTAACGGGTTAATGGGGATAGAGCCTGGAAGCAAGTAAGCAAACCTGGAAAGCTGCTCTCACAACCTAGGCTGGAGTCGATGAGTGTTTGAACTTGGGACAAGGTCATGTCAGTATGAGGGTTCTTTCGACTTTTAATCCATACATGACTGAGATGAGATAGAAGGGGAATGACATGGAGGAAATCAAGAATGACCACAGAATACTGAGCTTGCCTGAATGAAAGAACAGAGGACATGTCAGGAAACAGTGGATTTGGGAAGGAAGTTGACTCTGGTCTAAGACATTCTAAATCGGGTTGCTGAGGAGACAGAAAAGTAGAGATCTAGACAAACAACATCAATACACCACTGGACACTTGGAGTGAGGCCAAACCTATGGAAAGTGAGGTCACTGCACAATGTGTGCGGTCACCAGAAGAGTAAGCGGAGCATCCATAAATGTCAGTACCACCTAATCTTGGAACATTTGTCTAGTGACACTGATTCTTTCCTTCTTTTAAGTTTATATAATAAACAGCATTGGAATTTTGTTCATGTTTGGGACTCTTAAAGGTATACCACTTAAATATTTTTGAAACATAAAAAGAAAAAAAAGTAAACTCAAAAGTTCTAAAAACTCACCCCTTGTCAGTCTTCTTAAGTGAAGAGGCTACTTTTACAATGTTCTCAAGATCCTGACTCCTTCAAACAGTGAAAAATAAGAGTTAAAGACAGTAATCCTTGAAATAGCTAAAATTTTCTTATCTGTTTTCAATGAAAAAATAGTTCAAATATTGTTCTGAAATTATTATTGAGTTTAACTGAATAGCAAAATAATTCTAGCACATCTCTGTCCTGGTATACACACACCCATGCACTCCATCATTCCACCTGGGTGTTGGCTCTGCCACCTAGTGGTCAGTAAATTAACTAGTTTCTCCTAAAGGTGTATTGTCTGTTCCCAGGTTCTGCATTTAAAAAAGGGTCAGAATGGGGCATGGGCAGTTGTATGGGGGAATATAAAAATAAAATTTATTATTAAAAAATAAAAATAAAAAAAAATAAAAAAGGATATGGAAACTCATGTCATTGGCAGCAACGTGGAGGAGCTAGAAGGAATTATGCTCAGTGAAATAAGCTAGAAGGAAAAAGAAAAATGTTGGATGGTTTCACTTACAGCAGGTATATAGGGGAACCCAATAAGACATCAGTGTAAAAAAATAACAGTACAAAACACAACAAAGCAAAAATGGACAATTATAAATTAGAGACATCCTGCAGGGGAGGAGGGTAGAGAGGGATCAGAGGGAGGGAGGGAGGAGCACAGTGGACTGGGGTTATGGTGCACAGGTGCCTTGGGGAAGGAAACTCTATGGGGACTACACCTGAGGGGGTGGGGGGAAGCAAATACTGTTTAAAAATGAACAATGATGTAAAAATTTTTAAAAATAATTAATAAAAAAGGATATGTAAATAAGCAAAACAAAAACAAGCCTTTAAACAATAAAACCAAATTAATGGTTATTAGAAGGGAAGCAGGGTGGAGCAGGTAAATCAGGTAAGAAAAGGCTCATCTGTAGATGGAATTGCACTTTCGGTAGTGAACATAATATATATAGGTTATTTTACAAAGATGTACACTTGCAACCTATATAATGTTACAGTGCAATATTACTGCAATAAAATTTTTAACGCATATGGAAATGAATACAGTTAATTGTACACATAGAAACAGAAATGCTTTCAAACGTTTTTCTGTCAGAACCAAGGAGCATTAAGCCACATATCCAAATGATGAGTAGTCCCTCACATAAGGTGAATGTATTTGTCTCGCTAGGTTTCCAAAGTGAAATAAAGTACATTTTAAACTGTAGGACAGTTGGAAGCACTTGAGCCACGCGGTCTCCCTAGATCATGAAAAACGATCACTGGAAAGGTCCTTAGGTTTCCACAGACCTGGAGGATGTATCAGGAAATAGAGTGTTTGGAAATGAAGTTGACTCTGGTCTAAGACATTCTAAATGGAGTTGCTTCACAAGCAATGTCTCATGGAGCACGTATGGGGCTTCACAAAGAAAAAATTCTGTAGTTAAGCAAATGTGGGAAGTGTGCCCAACTCTGGAGATTCAGGAAATATATGAGCACACTGAAGGTCCTGAGAATTCCTGTGGCAAAAAACTCCATTTTGTGTTTTCTCAATGTATTGGACTATTAATCCTTTCTTTCATGGAACATGCATGAACATCTTGGGGCACATGGGACACAGTTTGGAAATTGCTATGGTAAAGTTGCACTATAAGTTTACTAGGCACAAGGCAAACATGTGTCTACCCAAAGGTCAGATATCCATGTGATGTATCACACTGGGACTCCTCCGAGTCCCAATTTGATCCCAAAGGAGATCACAAATTTTTTTTAAAGATTTATTTATTTATGCATACAAGAACTGGGGTATAGGCCAAAGGTGCGGCGGGTGAGAGGATTCACCAGAGACACAGTGGGGAACAGAACACGCAGACTGACTGAAATACACTGCTGAGGGGAGGAGTGGGTGGGACAGGAGAGGTCTGCCTCGCCATGTGGGTTGCTCCCTGGCCGGCTGGGGATCGAACTCGTGCTGCAGTGGCTGCGGATAGCTTTACAGTACTGTGCTTAACCCCTTGTGCCACCAGGGAGACCCGAGATCATAAAATTTTTGACAGAAAAATTGGTTAATCATAATGGTTAAAATGATAATTTAATGTTATATGTGTTTTACCATCATGAAAGATGGTTAATCAAATTAGTAGACCTAAAAAACAGCATTGTTCAAAAACTAATTTCAAAAGTAGTGTCATTTCTAAAAAAGAAAAACACATGTATATGAAGTACTCAACTAGATGGGAAGTACAAGACAACAGGCATAAGGATGCTTCTGGGGAAACAATACCCAAAGGCTTCAACACTATCTGCGAGCTCTTTCTGATAGTGCAGGTGGTGCTGGATGTGATTTTATACAGTCCACTCTGACAAAGCTTTTGTAGGACAAGTTCAAGCAAATGGCTATCTTTTCAGCTAATTTTTTATACGTAAGGCTCAACTATATTGTAGACTTTGGTATGAGTGCTGGGAATAAAGAGGTATTCTCCTCTCTTAAGGGGTTTGATCCTATTCTGGCATCATGTTCATGGAATTTTAGTTCTTTTCTTAATATAAAGGTGAGATAGACATAAAAGAAAAAGAAATAAAATTTTGTAGGAACATAGAAGAAGCCACTATACGGAAGTCAGCAGAGAACTGATTTTATCTATTTCATTATTACTTGTTTTGGATTTTTAAGTGTTCTTACAAAGCATGTTTAATCATTTCTATAATTACAGAGATATAGGTCATCGTACCTTAGATTTCTTTCAGCAGATCTGTTGGTTTCTATATAAGCACCTGGTTTAGGAGGACGTATCTGCCTATATATTTTTAAATTTAAAGAAAACAGGTGTTAGGTCAGAAAACACTTTTCTGTTAAATCTAAATTTATAGGAAAACATTTATATTCAGAGATCAAAGTTGTTGGAGCCATAACACTACTTGAAAGAACAAAGCTTTACCTTAACTCTTTAGGTAGGATTTTTGGGGGGTTTTTTAATTAATTTTTTTCCTTACATCATTGTAGTCCTCATAGTTCTCCTGCCACAGTATCACCCTCAAATCGTCACCATTTTCCCTTGTCTTCTTCCTTCCCCTGTTTTGTCCCCCTTCCCACCCTTTCCTTTGCTGTAGGCCTCAGTTCTATGGGCAGCTGCTAATTTTGACTTTTTCTTGAACTTTCATTTGGTTTCTCTTCTTTTGGAAGATTTGAACTTAACCATCTTCTATTTAAAATTCTAGAGTCCAGGGGCCTCCCCTGTGGTGCAGCGGTTGAGTGCTGGGTTTCGAAGCTGCCCGCAGCCTCTGCAGAGCCGGTTTGATCCCCGGCCGCCAGGTAAGGGTCCCACATGGCGCGCAGACCTCTCCTGCCGCGCCCGCTGCTCCCCTCAGCAGTGTACCTCGGTCCTTCTGCCTGTTCTGCTCCCCGCTCTGGCTCTGGTGAATTCTCTCACCCTCCCCCACTTCTGACTGTACCCAGTGCTTGTATATATAAATTAAACAAATCTTTATAAAAAAATAAAATAAAATAAAATTCTAGAGTCCAATGTACTAATTTCACAGGTTCGCCTTTAACCACTGTGTATAACTAGAAATAACTGTTCTGAATATATTCATGCTTATTTTTGAATCTTCTGTAATCAATAAAGCATATCTATATTTATCATTTTATACATAATAATATAATATTTTAAAATATGAAGGATCTTTTTTATTAGTCATTGAAGGGAAGATGTTTTTCATAAAGACTTATTTACATAGTAACATAGTATCAAGAAATGTATTTGTTCAGATATTATGGAAATATTATAGGTCCATTACCCCTACCACATTAAAAATGACAAAATTGAGTTGACAGATTAAATTTTTCATTGTTAGGGACTGTCACAATTTATGATGTAGGGTTTCTCTTTGCTCTTTTTCTACGTATTTTATTGACCTACTTAGAAATTCATGCTTGTTCCGAGAAGCACTATTCAACTATTTTTCTGTCCTCCTGAGGACAAGTGTTAATTACATAAGGAAACAGTTTCCTTTCATATTCTTTCATTAAAAATCATCTTGCTGTGATTAAACTAATCAGGATTTAAAGGATGCTAGTTGTCCTAATTTTATTTTTTTTAAGATCATTGGTGAAAGAAATTGAGTAGTAAAAATGGATTAGACTAATTCCCATGAAATTTAGCTTCTTTTAAATCTGCACAAGTTCACTGCTTTAGAGTCACTGATTTTAGATTAGAATTTAGGTGGTATTAAAGCAAATTTATTTTGGCCCCCTAAAAGTACCTCCTATTCAAATTAGTATTTAATTGCTCAATAGTATAAGAGTAAAGAGGAAAATGACACAAGATTAAAAGCTTGAGGAGTTATTTTTAAGAGTACAATTATAACCTTGTGCAATAAAAAGCTATAAATCCGGTCTATATTTTTAACTAATTCAATGAAGTATTCCCTTATCTCATTAAAAAATTTTACCTTCTCATCCTAAGAGCAAAATTTCAAAAGCCCTGCGAAGTCTCTTTGAGTGGAAATTCAGAACTTGGTTTGTAACTCAAGAGGCTGAACCCCTATTGCTATATAGTTCTGTATTCAGTTAGCACTTTCTAGTTGAAGTTGCCCTCTTATTTAAGACTAGTTCCAGAATTATCTTACATGCTGTCAAAAATCACCATCAAAATGCAAAAAATACAAAAGAATCAAAGAAAAGCAATCAAGCCGATGTAATGTATTCAGTCTTCATTGATATACCATTTTTTAAATCTCACAATAATAATGAAAATGTGCAATGTAAAGTTTGAAAAATGGTTTGAGATTATAAAACAGTTTGATAGGAACATATGGGAAGATTTTCAGTTCTCTAACTTTATTTCTAAGTATTAATTATCGAGTGACAAAGATTCAAAGCAGAAAGCAAGTTTGTCTTTTTTTCCCCTTGATTTGGAGACAAGTTAATGAGAACATTTTTCAAAATTTGTGATAGTTTTGAAATTAATTACAAATGCCAGCGCTAAAACAAGACTTAAGAACTAGAGCTATTCCTAAGACAAGTGGGGATCTAAAACTAACACAAAGTTTCAATAATGTCTTTTATCAGAAAATATAGCTCTTAATGGGAAACTTTACTAAGATATATATATATATATATATATGCATTTTGTGGCTATATATTTAAATCATATGTGTCAAATACATATACATGTATCTTATATATGTATATATTTATTTATATTCAGAAAGAAACTTCCATATATGTTGTTTCTTAACACATAAACTACAAGAAGCCTGAGCACAAATACCTCTTAGTCATGAAAAATTTTCAGTTTCTATCTTGAAGGTGCATTTCCATAAGACAAGTAATGATCATAAATATTCTAAGGTACACAGATACACACTTGTATTGGCAAATAAAATTAGAACAGTTTTACAAGTTTTTCAGCAAATGAGCATGAAACTCATACTCGTGCTTTGCATAAAAGAGGTCATGATTTATTTGCTTTTTATTTCTCCTGAAATTCTCAAGAATTTCTGTAATACTAGTTCTTACCTATTATCCTGTCTCAGCAGGTGAGGAGATGTAACAGGAGAACTGGGCTTTGGAGGTATTGGAGGGTGAACAGCTGGCTCCCTTGAAAACAGAAAGCAGCAATTCATTTAACCAAATGCATTTATTGCTTGTACGGAAATATCTCATATATATTACAACTTCCTTGCATGAGGTCCCTGAAAAGTCAGAGCCTGTGGAGCAGTAAACATCAAAGTCAAATATTTAAATTACAGATATTTTAAACTTCATTTAATCATAATTTTGGAAACCTCATCTTTTAACTAAAGCAAAGCTAAAAATACATATTTTTTAAACAGTTTAATATTTTGCTAGAATATCTAGCTCAAAATGTTGTATTTTGTGTCAGCAGCAGCATGTGAGCATAGGAAATGGTTCTTGGGAATTAATATATAAGCTTCTTTAGGAATTATGTCAACTATCAGACTACTACACAAATAGCAAAAAAGATTTTGAATCCCACAGGCCTCAAGGTGAAGTTGATTTAAAACTCTTAACTTAATCTGATTTAACTACTGTCAGCACTGGCTAGTTTGATACTAGCAAAGCATACACATACTGTCAGCCTGAATTTTCCAATGAAACTCCAATGCCAGGCTCTGAGCTGGCACAGTTTAATGACCTGGCAACTGGAGATGAGCAATTATGCACACATTTTGGGTAGCGGCAACACCTTACCCACGACATCCTTCCCCTCATCACCACTCCCACCCTAGTTATTCCCTCTTATCCTCGAGATAAGCCCCATAGCTACTAAAAGAGCCCTTGTGATCTGCACCCCACACATCCCCACCCTGCCTTCTGCAGCATGGCAGATAAGCACAGGAGCTCTGGAATCAGGTTGCCTGAATTGCCAGCTGTGTGACAGGGGTTACCTGATTTTATTTCTTTATCTGAAAAAACCCTTCTGATAGGATGGTGGGGTATTGCCAGAACTGAATGAGATCATGCTTTTTATTTAACAAGCATTTAATGATAGCTTTCTACACACCAGGCATTCTGCAAATGGACTGTTTCTCTTTCTCAAAAGGCTTTTAATACACAAAGAAATAAATGACAGATAAAGAAAAATATTATAAAGAAAAATAAAACAGAGTTAGAGAATGTTAACTTTCCAGATGCTACTGATAGATGAAATAGAACAAGGATAGGAAAGTTACCATGGTTTTGGCAATATAGTGATCAAGGGTCACCCCGATAAGAGCAGTTTTGAGGAAACAGTGGTGGAAAAAACATGATAGGAATGAAGGAAGTCACTTCCACATGGTAGGAAGCCAGGAAGTAGAGGCATTATGGAGATACTCTTCTTTATATTTTTTATTTATACAAGAACTGGGGCACAGTCAGAGGTGTGGGAGGGTGAGAGGATTCACCAGAGACAGAGCAGGGAGCAGAACAGGCAGACTGATGAAATATACTGCTGAGGGGAGCAGCAGGCACAACAGGAGAGGTCTGCTGAGCCATATGGGTATCTCCCGGGCCGGCCGGGAATCAAACCTGTGCTGCAGAGGCTGTGGACAGCTTCACAGCACAGCACTAAACCCACTGTGCCACCGGGGAGGCCCTGATGGAGATTCTCTTTAGAGATATTTTGCAGTGAAGAGGAAAGAGAGAAATGGGTAGTTAGGTGAAGGTTGGTGGGTCGGGAGGTTTACTACTACATGTGCATATGATGATGGGAAAGTTACAGGTAAGAGACCAAATGTGATAGTGCAAGGAGAGAATAGAAAATTGCTAGATACGTGCTTTAGGAGTGATGGGACGGCTAAGCGCTCAAACAGGCAGGTAAATACTGTTTAGGTGTGTCTCAGAGGCAAAAAGAAGTGAATATGGCTACACAAAGCAGAGACGGTTTGTGGAGCACCCAGGTGTGCAAGAGGGAATTACAATTCACACAAGGAGGGTGTGCAGTTGTGAAGGCCAAGAAAAGCAGAGGGGCACATTCATTTCCAAGGGTGATGCATTTACACCCCTGCTGGGCGAGGGCCAGGCAATGCCACATTGGCTTCAATTCACCTCAAAGGAGTCTTCATTTGCATCTCTGCAATGACAGCCACAGATGACAGAATCCAAGCCCTGGGGCAATGAGGGAAGTCATTCATACTGTGCCAGGAGCTTGATGTGATGCCAAGCAGGGGGATTAAAATGCAAGAATGAGGCAGGAAGCTGTAGCCCAGGGTGTTTTAGAGAAGGAAACAAGAGACATTCATGTAGAATGATCCTGTTTGAATATCACCCTGAGATGCGATGTTTCAGCTTGGAGAAGTTGACCCTGGATCTTACCTCTGGCCTTCCCTCAACCCCTCAAGATCTTTGCAGGATCAATGCCATCTCTTTAGTGACTATAATTATAAAGAATAACTTTCAGGAATAAAAAGGCAACTTTCACAAGAAACACATGAAAACTTGTAGATACTAGCCCAAATGTCAAAGCTCATGGAAATAACACTGCAAAACTATTTATGCTATTTCCATTTCATTTGTTGCTAAAAGATCACTTCTTTTCATTGTGGCTTTTGAGGAAGACATGCTTGGCCCTGTGACTGTCATTTCTAGAATGACTTTGTGAAGAACATTTCTACTATTGTAGCACAGGTCTAGCAGAAACAAAAACAATGGACTCTGATAGTTAATTGTTAGTTTCATTTTCACTTTCCACTGTGCTTAGCTTCTCTATCCCACAAATGAAACTTTTATTCCAACAATGACAAAGGAAATGGAAACTATATTCGCTGAGTTTCAGTAATATGCCAATTTTGTCAGACTCTCACATACATTATTTTATTCAAATCATACATCTGTCCTGTGGAGTGCATATTATTATTATTATTTTCACTAAGTATAAACAAAAAGGTAATTTGCCCTAGTTTATAAACAAAAAGGTAATTTGCCCTAGGTCAGGCTGCTAATGGCTTAGTCTGGGATTTGCTGCAATCTTTCTGACATCAAATTTTATGCCCTTTTTTCCTATTTCATACTGTATCAAACCAATACTCTTGCAGATATTGCCAATGAATAGCTAATCACAATACATTGCCTGGCATTACTTCTTTACCCAATGAAAGAGTTCTTGGCTGAGCATTTATTCCACAACCACCCCATTTATAATGTCAGGGCACATCATAGTGCTTGGGACAAATTTAGGCATTCAAAATGTGCCTGCACCCCAAGAACTTCTATAATGTAAACACTTGTTCAAAATAATTATTACTGAGATAATGTCTCACTTACTAGCAGTCAGTGGCCATTTCAATAAAACCACAATGTGATTATGAGTTGGCAGAATTCCTGCAAGGAATTCTCAATTTCACAGATTAATGAGCATTTGATATAGACTAAGTGTCTTGTATACACATGTACTGCATTTTCCGTATATATCCAGATGCTGTCCATGGTTAATAAAATTTAAATGGCATAATTTATAAGAACAGATAAATTTTAACTGGTCAATATATAAAGATAAATTTTTCAGTTTTGCTGAATTCATAGCAACTTTTGGTCTCATGATGTTTTCTTGTATACATAAAAATAGTAGAACTATTATCAGATGAAAAATCATAAACGCTTTCAGCATTAACAATGAGTCTACTCAGGGCCTCCCTGGTGGTGCAGGGGTTAAACCTCAGAGCTATCAAGCTATCACCAGCCACTGAGGCATGAGTTCAATCCCTGGCTGGCCAGGGAGCTGACCCTCATGGCACAGTAGTCCTTTCTTTTCTCGCCCATTGATCCCCTTGGCAGTGTATTTCAGGAGATCTACCTGTTCTGCTCCCCACTTAGTTTCTGGTGAATGCCTTCTCACCTCTGGCCTATACCCCAGTTCTTATATGCATAAATGAATAAAGTCTTTAAAAAAAAAAAAGAACGAGTCTTCTCAAAACGGATCATAGACCTATATGTAAAGCATAAAACTATAAAACATTTTGAAAAACAGTGACTTTGGGTTAGGCAAAGGGTTCTTAAATATATTGCCAACAACACAAATCATAAAAAAAAAATTTGAGGGCCTCCTCTGGTGGCACAGCGGTTGAGCACTGGGCTGCGAAGTTGCCCGCAGCCTCTGCAGCACCGGTTCAATCCCTGGCCACCGGCGAGGGTCCAAATGGCATGCAGACCTCTCCTGCTGTGCCCACTGCTCCCCTTAGCAGTGTATTTCGTCAGTCTGCCTGTTCTGTTCCCCGCTCTGAGTCTGGTGAATTCTCTCACCCTCCCATGCTTCTGACTGTACCCAGTGCTTGTATAAATAAATAAATAAATCTTAAAAAAAAAAAGAACAATGATGTAAAATATATATAAATAAATAAATTTAAAAAACTTGATAAATTGGACTTCATTATATTAAAAGGTGTTTGTCCTATAAAGTGCCTTAAGAAGATGAAAATATAAGCCACATACTGGGAAGAAGTTTTTCCAAATCATTATATATATATATACACATATGTGTATATATATATATTGTATACATATATATTATATATATTGTATATATATGTATATATATTGTGTGTATATATATATATACAAACCAAGAAATGAAAAAATAAGCAAATGATTTCAACATCATTAGTCTATTAGGAAATGCAAATTGAAACCATGATGAGATACATTACACACTTCTTAGAATGATTGAAAAAAAATTTTAATGACAATACTAAATGATGTTAAGAACGAAAGCAACGTATACTCCCTTACACTGCTGGTGGGAAAGAAAATGGTATAGCCACTTTAAAAACTGGCAGTTTCTTATAAAGTTAAACATATTTACATAAGACCTAGCAATCCTACCGACAGGCATTTATTCAAGAGAAATGAACACTTATCTTCATGAAAAACATTTATGTGAACATTAAAGCATCTTTGGAAACAACACAAATGCCCTTGAACTGATGAACAGATAAATGAACTGTGTACCTCCATGCAGTGTCTGCTCAACAATGAAAAGGAATGTACTACAGAGACATACAATCCCAGGGATGAATCTCATACGCATTATGCTAATTGAAAGAAGTCAGGTTCAAAAGGCTATTGACACTGTGTGATTCCACTTAAGCTACATTTTTCAT